TCAACTGGTGGATAAAGGATTGAAATGCTAGCTTTTTAGGAGTCTTTTAAAATCTGCACTCCATAACTAGAAGAAATGCAGCAAGCATGACGTCGCATGCTCGCATTTTCCTGGCACTGCATGTATGCACACCAAAACACGCGAGGTAGCTGGGCTCAAAGCCACTTCATGTTTCGGGGTGATCATGTGATATGGATAATTCGGGTATGGATCTGTGCCGGCTACGGAGCAACATCAGAGCACATTGGATAATGAACGTCAGGAATGTCTGGATAACCGCCCAGTGCTATCGCATACCGCACACCGAGCAAAAGCGCACTTGCCCCCGTGCATCGTGCTATGTGCCCCCTCGGAGTGTGTACTCCACCAACAGGGATAGTAGGAAAGTATTTCCCTCTCTGGCAAACTACGCAAACTAAGAGAGGCATGGAAGAAACTGCCACACACTCGTGAGCAGACAGCCTAGTGTGGAAAACAAACTTGTTTCCTCCAAGGCCACTGAATTGCCACGGGCAGGCAAGGCCAGCAAAGACAAGTCAGAGAGGTATACATCTGTTGTTAAAACTCAAATTAGTCCTGCCTGTTCAAAGGATCAGTCGGAGAAGTGAACCCCTTATTCCTTCCTGCTGCCATTGTGATAGCCAAGGAAACATAAACACGTGCTGATGTATACCATACAAGAATCAGATAATTTATGTGCTCTTGAATTCCAGTTACGGTGAACCGAACCTCTCGTCTTCCAATTACGCAATAGACAGTGAACTAAGGCACAGTTTTCTGCCAACAAATCTATATTCAAAGGATGATTTGGGGAAGTGAACTGCCTGAAAAGTGAAAAACATGGCAATCACACCAGGACTCGAGCTCGGACCTTGCTTGCCATGAGCAACACTCTAACCTTCTGAGCTATGGGACCAAGCCGAGCCTAGAAGGCGCTGACAAGTTTTCACTTCAAAGGCAGCTCACATTTTTTCTCTTTTCAGGAAGTTCACTTCCCCGAATGATCTTTGACTTTGAATTTCTCCCAATCCTTTCCAAATAAATCTACATGTATATTGTTCTTCTTCTTTTAGTACATGTATAGGTTTTATCTGATGAGACTGGGGGGGGGAGGGTAAGTACTACAACTGTAGGGCGACTTTCTCAGTCTATCATGGACAGCAGTATTTAGATGGAGATTAGAGACCGCAAGCTGCCTGCTGCTGCCAGTTCATTTGATGACTAAAGCTGTGTTCACAACTTGCGCGTGGACGCGGTACGCTTGCGGTTCATGCGCGCTCAGGCTTTCACAAAAACAGCGATCCGAGTCGTATTTAGTGCGTGCGATGCCTTCGAGTACTAATTTTTTGACCCTGCCAGTCAAGGTGACTGGCATGTAGTATTGTTGTAACTCGCTTTCTCTACCTGCTCCCAGTCCCGTGCCATCTCCACACTTATACAAAGGGACGACGATAACTACATTTAGAGGACTGTTTATTGACACGACGAAGAAACACAACTAGACATGACGAACTCAAGACGAAGACATGATGAACTCAAGACGAAGACAGCTTTTCATACCACAGCAACACGCGCATGCACCAACATGACGTACACACGACGTACACAAAATAACGTACTACAACATAACTCCCTCCCAAGAGTAGAATCGTCCTCGATTCTAATAATAAAACAGAGTAAAAAGAGGAAAAGATCACACAAATCACTCAATCATACCACACCAGTCACACCCAGAAATAAAATACCTCTGCCTGCACTGCAGATTACAAAAACTCTGTCCGCCCACCCAGAACACCAGCCACGATCGCTGTCACACGTGTAGGAACTGATAACCTCAAAAACTCTACTTCACACAACACACCACCTCACGATCACGCAAAAATTCTAAAAATGTGAGAGCACAAATCATATGAATAACAAAAAGAACAAAATCCACTGGCTCTGTGGGGGCCTCTAGTTATCCTCATAGAAGAGCAAATAAAGAAACAAACAGAACACACGCGCTGTGCGGGCGCCTCTTTACCCTCGAGGAGAGCAAATAATAAAGAACAAAATGTTGGGAGAACAGAAAATACAAAACTCACATTCTCATCACATTCACAACAACACACGTACCCTCTCACCAACGAAACTCCTCACGCCGTCTGCCATGTCGTCCACCATCTCCAGGAGCGCTGCTCAGCGTCGACATCCTCACTTCTGCAGCCTCTTCTTCTTCTCTTCACCTTCCATCCTTCTTTTTTCTTTTCTTTTTCAGGTTTTCTGGGCACAGTTTTACGTCGTGTCCGGGACCACCAGTGACGACGACTGCCAAGAGACGGGAGAGACGAATGATGAAGGACGAGGACGACGGACGAACTTCTTCAAGACGGACAAAACTGTGACGATAGGACGACTGGAGATGACATCGGAAACTGGGAGCGAAGGCCACGCAGGACGAATCCAGAAGTTGATTTTGACAACAATTTCCATCACCGCTGCCACCAATGTTGTAACTCGCTTTCTCTACCTGCTCCCAGTCCCGTGCCATCTCCACACTTATACAAAGGGACGACGATAACTACATTTAGAGGACTGTTTATTGACACGACGAAGAAACACAACTAGACATGACGAACTCAAGACGAAGACATGATGAACTCAAGACGAAGACAGCTTTTCATACCACAGCAACACGCGCATGCACCAACATGACGTACACACGACGTACACAAAATAACGTACTACAACAGTATGATGTACGCTCCTGATACGCGCTGAAAAATACAACCGGTTGGATTGTCCATTTCAGCGCATTTCCATACGCATGACGCCTCAAAAGCCAGCAAAAATACGCACAAGCGCGTGGTTTCACGCGTACACGCGCTAGTTGTGAACACAGCTTAATATTGAAATCAAGAGCGTCCAGCGTACTGCCCTCTAAAGTCATCCTCTCCCAACTGACATCGCAGCAGAGCACCACCTTGTTTCACAGCACATGCTAATGCTATGTAAAGAATATCTCATGAGTACGAGGGTGATACCGGCGAATATCAATCCCGACTGCGAAGCAGAAGGGATTGATATGAGGGTACGGTATCACCCGAGCTACGAGGGTGATATTCTACTTATCACATATGACCCTACGAACCTAACACGTACGACCGTCATATCCTGCTTATCACATGCTACATGTGTACATCGAGTCCATAAACATAAACAATTACATGATACTACAATTGTAGTACTACCCACTACTGTACATGTACTGTAGTAGATTTGACCCTGTGAACTGAATAGGACATCACATTGTGTGGAGACCCTCTCCGATGCCACACCCATTCACCCCCGTCTGACACATCATTCGCGGGACAGAAATATTCAAAGCTTCGAATTGTTTTAGTTGAAGTCTAAGCAGAAGTGAAAGGACATCAATGTAAAAGAGTCCCAGGAAATAGAGATAGAAGAGAAGATGATGAAAATGAAGCAATATACTGCACTGTATCTGAGAATTAGCGCTGCTCACAGGCTTTGACATCATGAACGTGGATGTGAACAGCGCCTGCGAAGTTTCCGGAGAAGATGAACTTTGCGCTGTTCTCCGAACTGACACACGATGAGGCTGGCGAGGCTGGTGGTACTTGTGGCTTTTCCAAGGCTTCCAATTCAGCCGGAGTTGACTCCTGCAGAGCTTTATCAACCTCCGCATTGAGCAGGCGAGCTGTAGCAATCTTATCTTGCTCGCTAGGCTGCAAGTAAGCTGTTAGGCACTTGTATTTCTGAACCCCTGAGACACTGTGATATGTGATGACGAACCAGACAAGGTAGGTGAGATGCTCGGGGTTGTTTTTCCAGTCTTAGTCCGGTATACCCTTTCCTTGGTTATGTACATACAATTATCCCTTCACTGTGCATAGTTCGAAGCTCCCCCCCCCCCCCCCCCACACACAATGGTTGCCTCTTTGCTTTGTCATACCACAACCATTCAACGCGGTGAACCCCTCGATAGGCGATTTGCCTTTGAGTCATCCTAATAAAGTTATTATTACCATAATGTTACGCTTGAGGTCTTGTAGCTGGCGGTGAATAGCACTGCGGAATTGCAGCAAACTGTTCTTGGAGTACGAAAGCTTGTTGATCTGCCTAATTTCCACATACGCATGCTTTAGGATTGAGGAAAGGTTGGTAGCTGAGATGGTTTTCAGATCACATTTTTTCTTATAGACTGTACACCAAACATCCGAGACACGTTGGTGGCTCGCTTCGTGTTGGTTGAAACACGGCTTTCTCGGATTCTGTCGATCTCATCCTCCGACACTTGCACAAATCGTTGAGACGTTTCTTCTACAAAACTTGGCTCGGATGTTACACGTTTTTCCGTGGTGGTCTTCTCCAGTACTTCGCCATTCGACAAAGTTGCAGTTGCGGTTGATGATAAAGAAAAATCAGACACTTCGGCTAGTTCGCTGGGTGATAACAAATTGAAATAATTTGCAGCAGCCTCTAAAAGCTCTTGATCTTCCAAGTCACCTTCACAAACGCCCAAATCAAAGCTAGCCATTTTTCTCACGAGGACACGATAAGGACAAGCTTTAGAAGAAGAATGGTAAGTTTCTGTTTGTGCTTACCCTCGCCTTGTCATTCTTCATGGTAGGTCAACTTGGGTGCGTACTATAGATGGAATTGCATATGTAAGGAATTCATTATTGTCACTAGCCCCTCCACATAGACCCCCTCCCACAATCCCAAGCCAGCTGGCCGAAGGAGGGCTGGGGGGGGGGGGGCTGGCGACGGCAGTGAAATCCTAAATATGCAGTTTCAGCTACAGTACGCATTCGAGTATGTGAGTACCAATGGGTACTGTACTAGGTACGCAGCCGGGTGTGATATGGAGCAGCAGGGGTGATATCGGCCTATATCACCCGCCTAGGAAGGGCAGTGATTGGCCCATTCCTAGGAAACGGTCACCTGATATGTGATAAGATACTGTTATTCCTATGTTCATGCGACACTGCACATACCATTGACAGCTGAACTCATTGGAGATGGATGGGCGTGGATGTAGTCGTTGAGATAAATTGAGTTGGCGGCTGACAGAAGGATAACCTTTGCAAGGCAAAATATACACAGCACAAACTCGGATACTTTCAAGAAGGTCACAGAATATTTTACCAACCGTTCTTCTGTCAGTGAACTACAACTTTAAGCTACAGAATTAACGTCATTACAAGCTTTGTATCATTCTATTGCATCATACTCAATTTCAATTACAGTCGACTCCACTTATAACGAACTCGCATATTATAGCGAATTTTGTGACAATTATAGCGAATCATTGTCCATGTCCCTGTTTGAACCCACACAAAATTGACCCTTTATAGCAAACAGTTTTCGTTTATAACGAACCAAATCTTGTAGGGCCGCATGTAAACCAAGTGCACTCGTACTGTCATGGGCCACGTATCAAGTCAATCCCACTCATGACTTGCTGCTTGTATAGTGTGAGTGCATTTCTGTTATAACAAACTTCGGCTATAAAGAACTAATTCTCCTGCACAACGGTGTTCGCTATATCAGGAGTCGACTGCATACACTTACTTACCCGCTTCTTGTAGATGTCAACCATCTGTTTTGCTGTTGGCCATGCAGTACTGCTCACACCCGCTTGCTGAATGTTGTCCGACGATACATGGCATAACAGACAAGTGCACACAATCATGACATCTTGACTAGTTTGAGGGAAGAAAATCATGACATCATAACCACAGTGGTAGCGATACACATTAAAAAGTATCAAAGAAGAGAGTTTCGAAGGATTCACAAACTCCATTGCAGACAATAAAATTCAAAAAGAGGACCAACAGTTTACAAGTTATCCGTTTTTCGTCCTCTTTTGAATTTTAATCCTTGGCTCTCCATCCGGGTTTAAACAGACATTAAACATCACCTTTTTTTCAAACACGCAAACATGGTCTCTCTCTCCGCTGCAGATATCGCTTCAGCTTCACCAAAATTTGAGATGAGAATATCTCTTAGCAAATACACACCGTGACACACACCCGCAGGCAAGCACTCATACTCATACTCCTGCCCATCGCTGAACCGATGATAGCGAACGAGCTATGTTAGACATAGCAACTTGTGCTGGGATTACACCATTCAACAGCTTCAATGCTGATGAATTGACCGCCACTAATTTTAGCCTGGTCTATACCACACGGCTGGTTGAAGTTGAAGTGGCTTTTTTCTGGCCAATGAATCCTTATTTTTCATTTTTCTCCTTTTTTTCTCTTTTGCACACACACACACACACACACACACACACACACACACACACATATATATATATATATACACACACACACACACACACACACACACACACACACACACACACACACACACACACACACACACCACGCCACACACTCCGACATACACTGGCTGTTGGTAACCACTCAGGAGCACGAAAGAAGAGCTAGGAGAATGAGAAAGAGAAGAAAGAAGGCACGCACTCACACACACACACACACACACACACACACACACACACACACACACACACACACACACGTGTACACACACACACACACACACACACACACACACAGAGGGGGGGGGGGGAGAGCGTGGTACTTTTCAGGCTGCTTCGGATGGTCATGTGATGTGAAATGGTGTACAAAGCTCCAAGATCACCATTTTTCTTCCTTCGAATAGTGCAGTCAAGGATACTGGCTCAGCTAGCTCCTTTCGAATTTTTGCTGTCAACTGCACTCAGCACGAGGGAGGGGGGGGGGGGTGGAAATCCGAAATTCGGATCAAGCTTCAGGCGAGCATCAAACCAATGGTGCTTCTCAGGAGAATTCAACGAAGCTGGTACAGTAACCATATAGCATTCTCCCCTAATTATTACTATCGGCTGCTGCTCCCAAATGTGTTGCTGAAGGCTCCGACATCTGGACTTGCAAACCAACATGCTTCTTCTTTTTCCGTGAATGGCAAAGACAAGCAAGGAAGCTGCAACAAAAAGAACATGTGTAGTGACACTTCACACAGGTAAATTGTGCTGCGCCACATGCGTGTTTACAAGCAATGCACTGATGCTAAAGTAGAGTGCTTACGTCGGGACTCTAACCCACTACGCGCCCCCCCCCCCCCCAACCGGCAACTGGCATTGCTGTTCTAACGCTTGTAAACTGAGGTACCAGCGACGTTTTTTACGGAGCTGATCCGGCGAAGCCTAGCTGCTTCGCTTGCCAATTCGCATTTGACAAATGCCCACACCTATATACACATGTGCACAACAATCTAGCACCAACACAATTCATACAGCTTACAATACACTGTTTTAAAAGGCTTTGACTTACAGAACGGAAGCTTGCAAGCTGCTGGACAGTGAGTGCCTGGCTGGCAAGTGTTGACTGAACTACATGCAATATATGCATTGCAGCGGCATCCTTGTTCTGCAACAGAGAACAACAACAACACATCGAACTACATTCAATACGTGCATGGCAGCAGCCTTGTTTTGCAAACGAATAGGACAACAACACATAGGACAAAATTTAATGTTGACATAGCTGTGGGAAATAACCACTTTTTTAAATGAAATCGGTCCAAACCTACTGTGAGTGAAAGTTTAGAACCACGTGACAACATGCATGGCACCATTGTGCTAGTATCGGAGAGGATATGGAATGGAAGAAGAAACACCTGGATTGCCTGCTCCAAATTCGTGTCCGATACTCGTGTGCAACAGGAGATCTAGTGACTGGAAACTCCTATTACCTAAAATTCCTGGAAACTCTTCTTTCAGCAAACCACTGGAGTCAATCTTGTACACACAGCATTTCATGTGAATTTCGTGTGTGACCTGGTTCTCTGTACAACCTGTTCTCCACACAACATTGAACCACTCAGGATGCATGGCCGCCGCATAATCCATATCCAATGGATCAATTAGTTACTCAATGCTAAAAACAACTTTTAATCAGAATCATGGTGCTCATTTCATCATGGAGATAAAACACTGGGTTGGCATTACAGGTACCCAGGGTGTTTGGACCGTGCTTCAGTGCGAATCGAGTACGTGCGCCGGGCATTGTGATCAACCATCTTCTACAGATGTGAAGAAACAGTCTCTGCCTCAGGGTGTACAGTAGAGAGAGGGGGCATGGTTAGAGGGAGTCCTACCCAACGTTTCCGGTGGGCATGGCAAGAGTGCCATGCTTCACAGGCTAAACTGCTTCACAGGCCGACCTGCTTCACAGGCTCAGCTGCTTAACATGCTCAACCGGTTCATAGATTCCACTTTTTCAGACTATTCCTTGAAACCAGGCAGGGCGTCAAACACACTATGCTCACACCAATATTGACCTTATTACTTCTCACCTTGGGCACCCCGGAAATTAATGTGCTTCTGAAGTCACAATTCATTGATATTGGTCCAATTTTTGGATTTTATTCAAGTGGAGGGCTCCTGAACTGACAACTTCAATGGCTGACCATACACGTACCATCCTAAAACACTTTCCAACGCCACTGACTTAACTTCCTTCAGATGCCTCAGTGGATGACCAAAGTAGGTTATGCAAATAATTGCATGCTGGTGGACTAGCAGATTCGTTTACGGTACCAAGTATACCGCATGACTTGGCGGATTTGCATAATGTGAGCTAAGTATGCAGCACAAGTTCGGTTTCGCTTGCGCTAGTGCATCGCTGTGCGCCGCGACTTTTCCAAAGCATCTAAACAGATGATGTAATAACCTCTATACTAATCCTGGCTGTCCTATAGATAGGAGATGTCACTGTGCACCTCAAAGCACACTGTACGTGAACAAGTTAAGCAAATAACTGTGTGCATGCATGGTGCCTGTACATACGGTTGAGCCGACAACAGGTGTGATGAAATCATTCAAGTCCAGGACAAGAACGTCGTATGTCAGATTGGCAGCATTTTGACTGAGCCAGTTGCTAATCTGCACCAAACCAGCTTGAATGGTTAGAGCACTCTGTACGAGAAAGCAAATTAATAATGCAGAATCAATCAACAATAAGTGAGTTCAGTGCAGTGCAGGCACTGACCCGTGATATTGTACACGAGATGGCCTTTGGAGGAGAGATTCTTAGATCCAGGCATTTGCACTCTGCTTGTACTACACTCTCATCAATCCAACTAACACAGCAACAGAACCAGCTAGCGCCGGGCAGAAGGAAAGTGCCTGGGTCAGTATTCTAGGCTACAGGAAGTGCACTAATTATTTCAGGAGACTGAGCTTGTCATATTTTTGTGACACAGATTCAGCTAGCACGCAAAGGCAGAGAATAAGTTCATTGAAAAATGGATTTGAGGGAGAATACAACTTGGTGCATGTGCTGATGAATTCGCAACTTGAACATGATGTGAAACAGTACTGACCTGGCAGTCCGACCCCCCCCCCCCCCCCAGCCCCTTCCTCCTAGGCGACCCCTTGCCCGGGGTATGGGGCAATGCTAACCTACCCTATTTCCCTGGTTATTAGGGACTGCTACCTACACCCTTGTCTGCCGGGGTTACGAGGTAATGCTGCCTACACCCTTGTCTGCCGGGGTTACGAGGTAATGCTACCTACACCCTTGTCTGCCGGGGTTACGAGGTAATGCTACCTACACCCTTGTCTGCCGGGGTTACGAGGTAATGCTGCCTACACCCTTGTCTGCCGGGGTTACGAGGTAATGCTACCTACACCCTTGTCTGCCGGGGTTACGAGGTAATGCTACCTACACCCTTGTCTGCCGGGGTTACGAGGTAATGCTACCTACACCCTTGTCTGCCGGGATTACGAGGTAATGCTGCCTACACCCTTGTCTGCCGGGGTTACGAGGTAATGCTGCCTACCCCTTGGCCAGATCATGAGGCAGTCCTACTACCTAAAATTCCTAGATTTAAAGTTTTGATTCTATATAAACTTCTTCAACAAACATCGCCAACACCGAACAATTCATGTGACACTGGCCGGCTTACCGACGTGCAGCCTGTGGTGTACTGATCAATTGTAGGTACTCCCAGAATAGAGGAACAGGCATCGAAGGGCTTTAGTGCGTTATACAAATTCTGCAGGCAGAGAAGAGGAGAGGAGAGAAGACCACCAGGCATTTGTGACACTTCTTGTCTGATGGTCGAGAAAAGTATGGATCATGAAAAAATGATAATATCACCATAAACATTGTGTGCAGGTGCTTGGGTTCGTAATTACAATACTTAAAGGGGAAGTTAAGGCAAAAATTAAAATTTCACCAGTTGTAGTCTTCGGGGTGCTGAGTCGAATGGTCTTGGTCCGAGGAAGCTGAGACGCTCCCTTCCTACTTGAATCCCAATCGAACTCGCGCACTTCCACCGAAACTGGGTGACTGCGCCCTACGAGATGGGGATTTGTATGCAAAATGTCACTAAAAGCGCCATTTCGTTCTTATAAAAGCACGGATGACCGCGATTGGCCCATATGTTGTAGTCTTTGGGACGCTGAGTCGACTGGTTTTGGTCCGAAAAGGCTGCGATGCAGCGTTCCTCCTTTATTCCCAATCGAACATGGTTGAAGAAGCGGTCACGTGGTCCTGGGTGCCCAAATCACCTGGTCACCACGCCAGCAGGTGACAACTTTCACACCAAGGTTCAACTCGGGTTCAACTCGAGTGACAGGACTGCACCCAAAAAAGGTCAAACAGGCTAGTAAGTTGTACCCTGCAGGCACGGTGACCAGGTGACTGGTGTACGCAGGAGCACGTGACCGCTTCTTCAACCATGTTCGATTGGGAATAAAGGAGGAACGCCGCATCGCAGCCTTTTCGGACCAAAACCAGTCGACTCAGCGTCCCAAAGACTACAACATATGGACCAATCGCGGTCATCCGTGCTTTTATAAGAACGAAATGGCGCTTTTAGTGACATTTTGCATACAAATCCCCATCTCGTAGGGCGCAGTCACCCAGTTTCGGTGGAAGTGCGCAAGTTCGATTGGGATTCAAGTAGGAAGGGAGCGTCTCAGCTTCCTCGGACCACGACCATTCGACTCAGCACCCCGAAGACTACAACTGGTGAAATTTTAATTTTTGCCTTAACTTCCCCTTTAATAACGAGAATCTGCCCGATTATACCATCCCTTCATGGCCTTCAGAGCCTTGAGATCTGAGCTAACACAGCCTTTCCAGCGCTTGCGTGGACCGCCAGGTGGACGGCGGGATGGAAGCAATCCAAATAGTAGGAACATCGGGATATGCTCTGATGCGGGCATTACTTAGCCAAGCCATTCTAGCTGTCGCTTGCGAAGCCAAACCGATAGTGGGTTCTCGTCTCCCCACATCTCCAGCAGCCGATCATTGCTGGTGCATTCTTGCCAGGCATCTATCCTTGGAAGGTGTGCAAGCACAACATGAATAAAGTAGAGAGCCTACGAATGCCGGGCTGGAGGGGCATGCAGCACTCAGCTCGTTACACCAGGATGGAGACAACACACACACCTTGAACATGTTACTCCTGGTGCAAACGGACAGTTGGTGGTTGGAGAACACTGGCTTCTGAAGTGAGCCAAATACACAGGACAATGCCGCGATATTGAACGAGATGTCCAATGAGCAATGGTCAGAGGTGTCAATGATCGACCCAAGGTAGAGACACTCCTCACCACTCACAATCTGGTTTGAACCAACACAAACGGGAGGGAAGCCCGCATCAGAAACTCCTCTGCCCGTCACAAAAACATGGACCTTGGTTTCCAGGAGACTAACTGCCAGTCCAAATGTTGAAGTGACTGCATTAAATACCACAGCTTGCTCGAGGCCGGATCAAGCGATTGCAAAACAGCTTGGAATCGTCTGCGAATTGGCATTCAGCTTCATAGTATGGTAGTGCTGTGTAGCAGGGCTTCTGCAGTAATAGCCCACTGGTGTGATGGTGGATATCAACACCGAAACCATCCACACCTTCTGTCTGCTGTTCCCTGGTATGAAACACGGTGGCCATATACAAGTTGAACAGCGCTGGTGCCATGGAGCAGCCCTAACGCAGGCTATTCTGCACTTTTTGAAGGTCAAACAGCTGACCATTAATGCGTAGACAGGTCTCCATGTTCTTACGAAATGCTCGGATTATGGACACACGTGCACACACACACACACACACACACACACACACACACACACACACACACACACACACACACCATTTGGACCATTTGACGCCCATCGCAGGAGGCGATGATAGCGATGCTGCAGCAAAGCCATAGCAGCTTGTGCTGGGATTGCACCATTCAACAGCTTGCCAGGCTGAAGAATTGACCGCCACTATTCAGCCTGGTCTACACCACACAGCTATGAAGTGGCTTTTTTCTGGCCAGAGAATCCCTACTTTTTGGTCTTTTTCATTTTTTTCCACGCACACACATCACACCACATACTCCGGCATGCACTGGCTGTTGGCAAGAGTACATAACCCCAAGAGTGTGCAACTGCCTGCACAACCTCTATGCTGTGCTGCGACGGCAGAACTTCACATCACGTGACATGGTTCAAAAGGTTATGCTGGCAAACAGTGCAAAGTGACCACAAGAGAGTTGTACCGAAAGCTGGGCTGCGTACACCCCAGTATCTATCATGCACAGAGTGCACGGGTTCATCACGTGATGTGAAGTTCTGCCGTCGCAGACCCCATAGCTGGAGTTGCACACTCTTGGGGTTATGTACTCTTGCTGTTGGTAACCACCCAGGAGAATGAAAGAAAAGTCAGGAGAAGTCTGAGAAAGAGAAGAAAGACGTGTGTGACCATAATCATCGGGAATCGAACCCGCAACCTATCGATTGGAAATCGTTGCACATACCACTGCACCATATGGGACACACACACACACACACACACAGTGGTGTATTTACCTGACATCCTGTGTAAAAGTACGAATCACTACGACACATCCTGTACTTGTCCACACCAAACACAGTGGCAGTGTAATGAAGGTTGAGTGACAGCCGGCGAACTCCTAATGACAACAGGCTTCCGATGCTGCATGAGAATGAGATGCATGCAGTCAAGGGCAGTATTACAACATGCACACACACACACACACACACACACACACACACACACACACACACACACACACACACACACACACACACACCTCAGACCTCAGACCTGCTCATCGCGGAAGCAATGATAGCGAACAGCTATGTTAGACAGCAACTTGTGCTGGGATTACACCATTCAACAGCTTGCAAGGCTGATGAATTGACCGCCACTAATTTTAGCCTGTTATCCACCACACAGCTGATTGCTGACACACACACACGCGCGCACACACACACGCGCGCGCACACACACACACACACACACACACACACACACAGCGCACAGCACAGCACACGGATTTTAGTGGTAGGTGCAATCTTAATAATATTATACAGCTGAGCTATGAAAATTTTGAGTTCAGCTCAACTCGGAAAATTTTGAATTTTTCTGACCCCCTTGGCACTGAAAGGGGTAAAGGGTTAACGGACAAGGTGTGATGGACAATGTTGCCGTGCATGTTGCAGTGCAGGGGTAAGTGTGATGTAGTGCTGGGCCTGCCTGTGTACTCGTATACATACACACCTGAGCATGTATGATGTACATGTATCATAAAGTAAGCCAAATGACCTGTGATAACTGATAACTGTCTTCCACATTCATGTACTTTACTACGTGTGAATATGACTGTACTGATCTTAAGGGCAGTTCATAATTTCGGCTCTAGAGTTTGCATGGTCGAGAACAGTGAAGAGCAGCATGACCACCATCCTATCTGTGCACATACTTCGTCTTGGTCCATATCACTACAGTCATGATCAATGAAATTTGATCACATGACTTAGTTATCAGCTGGTGGAGTCTACCAGCGTACAGCATAGTGTTTGCACTTTGCTGGTCTGAGTCTGCATAGCGTGACCACTGGCTGCTGTCATACAAACTAACTATTTCTTGATGGCTGGTTTCACTGAGCAGCGCCGGGATGATCGCCGAATTACTCGAGGACAGGAACAGCGGCTGCTGCAAGTGCCTTTCCTTCCTGGACCTTCTGGTCGTCAGTCATTGACATTTGTAGGAAGCACTCTTTGGAATGCCCTTCCCAGTGATATTCGCCTCCACAATGCGGCTTGTGCCTTTAAGCTGGCTCTGGACAGAATTGATTGTAATTTGTAACCAATGTTAAACGCGCTCCTTCCTCGCTCGGCATCACTTCCTTCATGGGTACCGCTTTGCTTGACATTCATCCCTCATCTTTATACTTTTAAAAGCAGTGTGAACACAATAACCCCCCCCCCCCCCCATTCATCATATACATCACTGCATGTTATCCCTATGTGTTCTGCACTTCTTACATGTACACACACCCATTAAATTCTATACTTTGGAATTCTCATTTTATGATTCTTTTTTAATATTTCCTTCTCTCATAATATTATGTTATTCGTTCTTAGTAGGAACCGGAGGTTTTTGCCTCTGGTGAGAAGGCAGAATTGCCTGTGCTCTAAACGAATTCAAATAAAACAAACAAAGAAACACGGTAGTATCACATGCAGATCTATCTCCACTGTCCACATGAAATCTAAATGATCTAAATGATCAGCCTGCAGCATGTCAGGATAACAGCTACAGTCAACTTCGCTAATAACGACTGCGGATATAACGACAATTCGCGAATAACGACATAATTTTCATGCCCAGAGCAAAGTCCCATCCAACTGTGACACGTATAATGAGACTTCAGGTATAACGACACTTCGCGAATAAGGACACTTTTCTGATGCCCCGCCGAGTGTCGTTATCAGCGAAGTTGACTGTATGTACCCTGTAGGCTGTTCCGAGAATACACTGTGGCAGAGCATGTACATATGCGCCATGCCAATCTGATCCGTGACTGCCCTTACTTCTTTGTCACTTATTTTCTTCAAATAATAAATGGTTCAAGGCGTAGTGAAACATGCACCACTGCACACTGACCAGCAGCCAGTCAGACTGACCACGGTGATCGAGCCTGCCTCAGTTTTCTAACCATACCTTGCAATAGGGCTTGAAAGTGATGACGTCAAAAACGGCCAGGGAGTAGTAAGTTGACATCAGATTTCTATTTTGGATCCACTAAGGTGTGACTTTGCTATTGCCTCAGTATGTGGGTGCATAGCAACCCACTCATGTCGTATGCAGGGGTGACTTTTACTTCGCCACCAGTTGTAACCCCGCCCCCAGTAGCCAAATCAGTCAGTTTCACTGGCTACATCACCTTGCTGTGAGTAAGCTACATCACCTTGCTGTGAGTAAGACGGCTTGAAATGTGCTTGGATCCATACAAAAACTGGATCCAAGTGGATCCAGTTTTTGAATTTTTGAAATTGTTGCTATGCTGTGACGTAGCACTTTCAACCCCTATACCCACCATGATCATACTCTTGTTGTTACTAGCCACTCATCGAGACGCATAGCAACGCCAGCGCCATGGTTCCCACCGCATACTGGTGTGCCTCTACCCGCTGGTGCCCGAATCTCGTGTGTAGTGCTACTAGGATGTTACATGTACATAATATTATGTAGATATCTATAGTGCGCTATGATTTTGTTGACATGCTGGTTTCAACGAGACATGCAATACACTGTACTGAGTCTGGCTGGCTGTCTGGTTCAGCCAGTGAGTTACAGACAGTAGCTGCACTGGACCCTACACGTGGCTTGCAGCAATGACCTCCATCACTGTGTGATTGTGGTTCGGTTGGGCAACCAACTGCACACAAACACACCAATCACTAGAGAGGTTTTGCGAATGATTTCATGGGCTGAGCCAGCGGACCCGCTTATCGGCGCTATGCAGGCAGCATAAGGGACTCAATCGCTAGTGCAAGTACAGTACTACTGTGCAGCGGGTCCATGGCTTCGCCAAAGCATCTCAACTGATGATGTAATCGCATAACCTCCATACTCAGACTATAGGTTATGCAAATGATATCATGATGGCGGATTTTCAAAGGGGCGCTAAGTATGCAGCGTGAGTCGCTACTGCAAGTGCAGTGCTGTGCTGCGAGTCCGCAACTTCGCCAGAGCATCTCAACTGATGATAGCATAACCTATACTACTCTAGTACTCTCTAGTCGTGGACGTGATATGACTATTTTTGAATGAGCAATAGGAAATTACCTTTTCACTTGGCTGTGGATTTGTGTGGTTCCTCTCAAACATCGACCAAATACGCACGCTTTCCCCACGCCCTTCTCCAAATCTGGTCGCGCTGCCTGCCATTGTAAAGGGGTATAGATCAGCTGGTTGGAAGCATCGTTGGCGCCGCATAATGCCAATTTCGATACATCAGTATCGGCCGTAAGGATAGCCTGTGCTCGAATTGCGCTTGTCAACCACGCCGGAGTAGTTGCTGCAGAAAGTGGTTGAGCAGAACAAGCCAGGAGCAACAGTAGGACGGCAGCCCGACAAACAGTTTGTCCGTGGGCCATTATTTTCGACAATGAATTCCAACTCCGTTTGCTCGTCGATGATACCATTGGATACTGGAAAACTCCTAAACTACACGTACATATGGACACACTAGCCTAGGATATTGTAGGACAGGACTAAAATCCTGTCGATACTTTCCGACCGGTAGCTCAAAATGATTCCTTGGATTATTGGAAAGTCGTTATCTTCGAGTGAGGAGCGATCGATCTGGGTTTCCCTACCATGGTCTACACCTGCGGACTATTTTGGCCCTTGACCAATGGCAATGTAGACTGGGCTGACTTGTGTGAAGTCGAGAATGCAAAATGCCGGTATGCTGCTGCCAGCCCTTTCGCCCAAGGGCCAAGGCAATATCGATGCTCGGCAGACAAGTGACCGCAGTATCCAGGTAAGAGTAGGCTACACTAATCTTACAGTCGTTGGTGGTCACAAGCCCAATACATGGCCGATTACTGCAGCCTGACTGAGTGACTGTCTACAGTCAGTGTAGATCTTCTGAGGGCCTACAGGGTGAGTTATCTTATAATATCTTCGCTACCGTAGTGACGCGCATTATTATAAGAGCATGACTGTGCATATCTAGTATACATGGTATACCCGGGCATAAGCACACCCTCACCAATAACTAATAAGCGCATGGGCTTATACATGTTATAAGTGAACCTAAATGCAGTCAATCCCGCGACAAGCAGACACCACAAAAACACCATAGTTATTCACATAGTTCAATGTGCATCGCGGTATTGCACTATGAGTATGAGTAAGCGCATGGTACCGGTACACTAGCAACTCAAGCGCATGCGCCTATGTGTGAGACAAAACGACCCGCAAAAATAATAATTATAATTATTATAATAGGCAATGCGGATAATGCCGGCAGAAAAATTGGCAGAATTCTGTACTTTTTCTGGTAAGTTTCATGCATGTTTGGTATACCGGTATGTGGATAAAGAAAATTTAAATGGAGCAGGATTCGAGGAATTGCCCGCCATAAGGTTTGTATGGTTCTGCCAATTTCACTGCTTTTCGAGCAGACTCTGCCAACTTTTCGAGCATTATCCGCCAATGCCTAATACTGTACATGTACGTGTATCGGTATGAGCCTTTTCCCCAGCCTTGTACTTGTAGTAAAGGTCAGTTACCCTGGCGGCGGTGTAAGTGTAAGAGGCTGAGCTGCTGCGAAGATGAAGACTGTCGGAGAAGCTGAGTAGATCTACTGATCTCGTGCCGTCACGCGTGGACGTTCATTCTAACAGTAACAGTAACACAGTCCTGGCAAAACCCAGGCAAAACCCAGGCAAAACCCAGGCAAAACCCAGGCAACAGACCACTCGCAGAACATGATCAGTGTTGACAGACTAACACTAGTCAATAGTCCCCGTAGATCTACACATGGTACAGCCTTCTACAGGGTGCCAGCACTTCAGCAGCTACATAAGAAGCAAGAAGGATGTTGCTTTCTCTTCTGCTCTCAGACATCTGACACGGTCTACATCATGTACATGTATGTGGAGGTTCTTTTTCTTACATGTAGATCTACATTATAATATTGGTTGGCAGCATGTTACAAGCCGGAGGACACACTATGTTCGGAAACAGTGGCCCTTACTACAGCCTCCAAGGTTGCTAATGGTAGAGCTCTGGTTGGTTGTAGTAGTAAAGGGGCACTGTTTCCGAACATAGTGTGTCCTCCGCCTTGTAACATGTTGTCAAGCAACAACTACATGTAGCCCTTGGCGGATTATACTCGGTGAATTGCTGAATTATGCTTTCCATGATGCCCAAATTATGCCAGTGATTATGCTACATTATGCTGGAATTACTGATGCCAATGATGGTGCTATAATTATTATGCTGCGGTCCAATCTAATGGTATGGTGAACCAGTACAAACAGACAGCCCTTGGCGGATTATGCTTGGTGAATTGCTGAATTATGGTTTCCAATATGCCCAAATTATGCCAGTGATAATTACCGGCATGCTACATTATGCTGGAATTATCATGCGCGGCCAACGATGGTGCTATACAGTACCGTGACTGTACCCTTGCACTCTTGTTGCACTTTGCAACGTTACAACGACCCTGGCACCTTGACAGCACGGCTTACATGTACAATGTACATGACTTGTATATTTTAAAAAGGGTTATTTCCTGTAACATGCCTAAGGCCTTCAGCCAGCACTGTAAGGTTATGCCGACAGTCTGGTCTCAGAAGTCCTTTGATGCCAGCGCATAATTTTTAGACAAAATCCGAAGACTATGCCAGAATTATGCCAGCATAATTCCCCAAGGGCAAATCCAAACCCCAATGTTTGCAGTTGTATGATGATTTTTTTAAATACTGAAATACACAGTCCAGCAGAGGAAGACAGAACCAAAGGGGAGACATGACAATACAGCGGGAAGCCGGAGCAGCGTGCTGGTGAATTGGGCCTACTTGAGGCTCCCTCCCCCGACCATCGGCCCGCATCGGGATCAGCGGCAGGACCAAGCACCAAATACGTAGAGCAGAAATGACTTGTGCTTTAGTGTAGTGTGCCATGCCAGTCGTTTTCGCTTGCTTTCCGTGTGCATAATTTTAATACCGGTAGAAGCAATGTTTATTCGTACTCGCAAACCAGATTTATGCAAACAGAAAGAAATCGTAATACACTCTCACTCTTCACATCACCCTGCCAGTTACGTGCACTTTCGTAGGTCGCCATGGCAAATAATAATGGTAAACCAATCACAAACAGCAGGAAGCTGTCTCAGGGCAAGTAAAGTAACTAAGGCTACTTTATGAGGTCAGGTGACAGTACTCGTACAATGTCATGTACGACCGCTAGAGCCAACGATTCCGCTACTGCTGTATCACGAGCACGTTGATCCACAGATCGATCACGGTGGCCTCGGAGGCTGGCATTAGCTGAACGCACCAGCGAGAAGGAGATTTATTTGGAACCGATCCAGGCCATCGTAACGGAGAAGGGCTCCTTCCGCTTGTCGGACAGGAGGACTCCAAGCCGCTTCAGGAATGCTGACGCAGCTTTTCCGCAACCTCCCGTGGGCCGTGGCACAGAAAACGAGGGACAAGAAGGAGGCCTGCTCAACCTCTCGCACCCTCTCCTCATATGCCCGCCTCTTCTCTTGCTCATGCCTGGAGTAGGTCGACGCGAGGGATGGGGCTTGGTTCGAACGAGCATGTGGGTTGAACACCCGGACATCGAGGAATGTTCGCTCGAACCTCAGTACTACCCCAAACCCCCGACGCCGCTACGTCCAGGCGGGATCCATCGGGGGGTGCTTATGGCTGACAGGTACCGAAGTAGTTCTCTGCTCAACGGCTGTAAAGGGGGTTCAATAATTACGTCGGTGGCAACCTGAAGCATTGCGGCGGCACCTGCACCTAGTAATAGTACCTGGGCACTCCACACGTACACATACAGTGTTTCTCGTGGTAGCTCTAGATCCAGTGTACTGTACTGTAGTCGTTACATGCCATACATGTAGATCTACCGGAGGATGTACATGTACTACCCAGTGTGCTGACAGTGCTCAACACCGCGGAGGCAGAGCGTCACGAATATAGAACAGAACAACAAGGACAATCAAGGCTTGTTTGCTGCTACTTCAAGTTTCCTGAAGCCTGACACTTCTGACACTAAACTGACCCAGTTTGTTATAAACAGGGCAAGAAGAGCGGATGTGGACCTGGAAGTCTTTGCCTGCAAGACCTTCTCTAAAGATGGTCGTATCTCTGCTAGGATTGTGATCAGTAAAAGCAGCGTCGAGCTAGTAAATAACCGGGCATTCTGGCCCCAACCAGTGTATTCCCGCTTGTGGAACTTTGACAAGTATGCCACTGACTCCTCCAACAACACGACCACTGAGCAGGACGACAGTGATTCCCACGCCACCCTACCCTCTCAGACAGCACAGCACTCGCCAGAGCAACAGGCCAAGGGACCAAGTATGCCGACAATATTTGAATGACAGAGACACGACCACTCCGCCTAATGCTCACAAATGCCTTTGGCATACTGAATAAGATTGGCGAGCTCCAGCACGTCCTCATGCACCATAATGTTGACCTAGCAATTGTCACAGAGACCAAACTGACTCTGGAGAAAGCCACGCCAGTGGAAACATCCATACCTGGCTACCACCCTGCTATACGGCGCGACAGAACAGCACATGGTGGTGGGGTTGCAATTTGGGTGAAGGCTGTCCTACCATATAGACAGCTCAACATCGACTGTGCCGACCAGGAAATGCTCTGGATTAGCATAACTGGACCACAGGGCACAAAGGTTGGTGTATGTGCTGTATATCGCCCAGGCTCCTGTGCAGACAATGACATACGGCTGTTCTCCAATCTCGATGCTGGGATTGATGCTGCACGTCGCTCCAGCTCTCGCGTCATTGTAGCTGGTGATTTTAATGTACACATTACAAATTGGCTCGGCAGTAGGCGCACCACACTGGCGGGAGAAACAGCCGAAGATTTATGCTACCAACACAGCCTCACCCAACACATCCACGAAGCTACTCGTGGGCGAAATACCCTCGACCTCGTTATGTCAGACGTACCTGGTAATATCATCAGTACACTGTACCCACCCCTGGGACAGTCGGACCATGCTGTAGTGATCACAGACTTCGAGCTGACACCACACCGGGACAGACCAACTGCGCGTACAGTATGGCGATATCAGCATGCCGACTGGGATCGTCTGAGAGCCTTCTACCGTGACACCGACTGGACTGAGATCATCACTGATGAGCCTGATACATCATGCAATCTTGTAACCCAGAGGATCATCAAAGGAATGACCAGATTCATCCCATCGAAAGTTCTCAAGACAAAGCCCACTGATCCCGTCTGGTGGACCCCTGAGTGCTCTGCTGCTGTCGCTGCCAAACGCCATGCATGGCGATCACTTCGTCGCAGCCAGGCCAACCCAGCACTACAGGAGCAATATCGCCTTGCCTGCGTGACCTCATCGACTTGCCTTTCTAGAGCCAAAGAACATCACCTCCAGAGTACGCAATAAACTGCTCTCGGGAAACATCCAGAACAAGGAGTGGTGGTCCGTGGTTAAGCGTGCAGGTGGAAGTGGTCGCGACAGCACTATGCCTGTTCTTATTGACTCTGATGGACAGGAGTACACACAGAATCGCGACAAAGCCGAGATTATTGGAAGCTACTTTGCTGAAAAATGCAGTCTAGAGACTGACTTCAGTGATGTTGCTACCGCCTTTCCCGATGTCAAACAGCGTTCACTACACAGAATAACAACAGTGCACTTTCGCCAATCTACTGTGAGGCGTGTGCTTAAAGCCATCAACCCGTCAAAAGCAACTGGCCCTGACTCTGTCCCCTCTCGGGTGCTTAAGATGTGTGCAGATTCTCTTGCACGCCTGCTCGCTCATCTGTTCTCTCTCTGCTTCCGACAAGGCCACCAGCCATCTGCCTGGAAGGTGGCAAACGTTGTCCCGGTCCACAAGAAGGGCTCAAGATCTTGTGTGAAGAATTACCGTCCAATATCCCTTCTCTCCATTATCTCCAAATGTATGGAAACCATAATCAACCGGAGCATCACAAACTTTCTCGACAGCAACTCTATTCTCTCTGCTCGCCAATTTGGCTTCCGCTCTGGACTTGGCGCAACCGACCGACCTCCTAGCTCTTCAATACGAATGGAGCCGAGTTGCCAACAGTGGAGGACTTGTGCGCGTCCTGGCAGTGGATATTGCTGGGGCGTTCGACAAAGTGTCGCACCCGGGTGTCCTGTATAAAGCTGAGCGGTATGGGCTCCAGGGACATCTTCTCGCCTGGCCCAGAAGCTACCTCACCAACCGCATGCTCCAGGCTGTAGTGAGCGGACAGTCCTCCTCTGCTTACCCCATCATGTCAGGCGTCCCCCAGGGTAGCATCTTGGGCCCGACTTTATTCCTTCTCTATACGAATGATGCTGAGGATCATCTACCTGCTGGGGCCCAGCTTGCTGCATATGCTGATGACACCACGCTGTACAAGTGCATATCGACCAATACTGCCGTACCCGAAGATGTTACCACACTCCAGCTTGCTGTAAATGCGCTGGCAGACTGGGGAATGGCCTGGCACATTAGGTTTGAACCTACAAAGTCTCAGTCTCTCCTGATTTCTCACCATCGCAACACAGTCGTCGTCCCACCGATTGTATTCCAGGGCACAGTTGTTCCGGAAGTCGACCAGCTGAAGCTGCTGGGTGTGCTGTTTGACCAACACCTGTCCTTCACAGCTCATATCAGGCAATTGGCTATTCGAGGCTCGCAGCGTCTCGGCTTCCTCCGGAAAGCCTCGCGAGTGCTGGACTCCAGGTGCCGTGGAGTGATCTACAAGGGCTTTGTCCGCCCTGTTTTGGAGTACGGCATGCTCGTGTGGATGAGCGCTGCACCCACCACTCTGGCTCGCCTCACTGCCATCCAACGCCGTGGCCTTCACCTAATCGGTGACGGAGCCTACCTCCCTAGCTTGGACATCCGCAGAATGGTCGAAGCACTCTGCTTTCTGTACAAGCTCCACTTTTCAACTGGCCCAGACATGCTTCTCACCCTTCTTCCACCCCGAGCGACCAACACATCACGCCATAGCCGACGCACACAAAAGCATCCCTCACACCAGTTTCAGCTCACTTCCACTCTTCCACCCAGAGCACGGAATGATGTCCTTCGGTCCTTCCCTGACGCTGTTGTGGAGGTCTGGAACCAGCTCCCGCAGTGCGTTCTGCTGAACCAGCCAACAAGGAAAGGACTGCAGACGTTCAAAGAAAAGGTCAACGCCCACCTGCGCCTTACCCGCTGGGAGTGGGCAACGGACAGGCTATGAATCAAAGAAAAAAGACGAAAAAAGCTCTAACTCTGTTCCCTCCTCCATTCACTTCGTTGACTCTCTGATAACTTTTTATTGTGCATACTTTTCCCCGTAATCCCCAGTTATCTACCCCCCCCCCCTGCATATTTTCTGTAATCTTTTGTTTTTGTGGAGCGCTTGGGTTGCAATGAAGCCGAGACCCTATGGTCGGTCAAGCTGCCCCTGCCTCTCCCCCACTCCTGCCATTCCATATGTCTCATCGCTGCCTTGCTGCTTTGTGCCATCAAATGGTGTGTGGTTTTTTGTAAAGAAGAAAAAAAGAAAAAAGTTTCATGCTCTCGCAATCATCAGGCAACCGGGTGCCGACCATGCCGACATATATGCCAGGACTCAGGAGAGGGTGGGTCTTGTAGCGCTGTATGAAAAGCTGTGTGAGAATGTGGGGGATAGCGGTGTTATTTTACTGAGGCAGGAGGGCCTCAGGCTGTGTGCAGAGTGCGTGGCTGTTGAAGGCAGGGGCTAGCAATGCAATGATTATGTTATTGTTAGCGCAGAATGTGTGGCTGGTGTGGGCAGGAGGTGGTGAGCAATGATTACCGGTATGTGTGTGAATGTTGTAGGCAGGAGGCTTTAGTGTCAGAGCTAGCAGTGTCAGCCTTTGGGTAATCCTGAAATAAAGATTATTATTATATTAGCGCAGTGTACATGTACATGTACGGCTGGTGTGGGCAGGGTGTTATGAGCAAGGCGTGTGAATGTGGATGGTGTAGGAAGGAGCCTCCTGCCTAAAATAACACCGCTAGCCCCCACATTCTCACACAGCTTTTCATACAGCGCTACAAGAGTGTTAGGGGCCGTCCGGGGTTACCAATAGTTTTTGCAAAACGAAAAGCCTTTCACTTCATGCTTTTGTTTGTTCCGTGTGACTAAACACAACATTGCAACGTGGGTGCTCTTAGGCCTTCATCCACTTTACGTGGATAACCCACGTAGATCTACGCGTTTCCGTTACGTGGGAACTAAACCTCCCTATTGTACTACTCCCCAGTGCTCACAATGTTCAAGGGGGGGGGGGGGGGGAGGGAGTTTTAGGCCATTTCGAAATAGTGAATATTTGGCGTATTTTCGATACAAAAATATTTTTCCGAAGAGAACCTATTGTCAGATCTCCACAGAATTCGCACATTAGGTGGACAATGGCATGGCATGATGATATGACATTGTTTCCAATAAAATCAAAAGAGGCTTGCTCACTTGCAAAAAGAAGAAGAAGAAGAAGAAGAAATCGTATCTCCTACCCGGCCGGGTCAGCTCCACCGTACAGACTTTCAACCCGCGGGATGAACTCGACCCGCGCCGTGTTGAACTCGATCCGCGCCGCGTGGAAAATTCTCATCTGATGATGATCATGTAGTATGATGTACTTGCTGTCATGTACATGTACATGTAATAAACTCAGCCTCTGACATGCTGAGACAGAGAGATAGAGCTACTGTAGAGTGGGTCTGGGAGCTCCGGATGGAGACAGACTAGAGAGAGAGAAAGAGTAGCAGAAACTGGAGATGGCTGGTCACCCTACGTTATTACTTGCAGCCGTGCTTGTGCTGCACCTGTGTTTGTGGCCATCCACATCTGTGGCACAACTCCAAGTTCCGAGCTGGGTTCAGAATTCCCTGCGCGCACAAACATTGTTGACGGCTGACACGGATATCTCTCAGATTCCACTATGTGGAGCAAATGAAGTGTTCAACCTTCTTGCTTTCACGCCGCCCAAATGGCGAAGCGTAAGACCTGACATAAAGGCAGGCTCGGGCTCGGCCTGTATCGGTGGAAGATGTTTAGTGGGAACCACTGAAATTCACAGTCAAGATCTAAGGTAGGAACATTTTGCACTTCCTCTGCATACTGCATTAGCGGTTTCAAAAATGTGATAATAAGAGCGGAAGTGCATACCGTATTGTTGTGTTTCGTCCAGTGATCACTCCGCCATCACTGTACTTGTCAACAGGAGGGAGTCAGTACTCGTAGTAATGTAATTTAATTATCACGAATGAAATCTCTCCTGAGCACAGATCCTGAGCACGGATCGGTAATGCATACTACAGGTCAGACCTCGCTATAACGTAATCTCTGGGGGATGGGAAAATTATGTTATAGCGAGGTTTATGTTGTAGTGAGTTGGGCACACCAATATGCAATATGTGCATGTACAGTCAACTTCGCTTATAACGACACTCGGCGGGGCATCAGAAAAGTGTCCTTATTCGCGAAGTGTCGTTATACCCGAAGTCTCATTATATGTGTCACAGTTGGATGGGACTTTGCTCTGGGCATGAAAATTATGTCGTTATTCGCGAATTGTCGTTATATCCGCAGTCGTTATTAGCGAAGTTGACTGTATGTCAAAATGACGCTCTTCATTTTTACTGATTACAACTGTACTGTTTTACATGCAGGTATGATGCTGTAAACTAGCAAAGATGTTTATTGCATGTCATGTGAGGGTTGCCTGTACTACAGCCAATGAGCGCTCTTGGTCAGCGGGCTGTATTTCTCGGTATTGCCCGCTCAGTTACATGTACGCGCATGCGGACTGTCATTCTTGTACTTTGTGGTTCGTGATCAGATCAAGTTTCTACTGTTCGGAGTTTCAATTTTGAAACACAAAACAGCAACTTGATCTGACTACAAACTACAAAGCACGAGAATGACAGACCACACACGCGCGCATGTAACTGAGCGGACAATAACTTACTTGTTCCAGCCACCTGAACCAGCCGCCTCAGCAGGTGAATGCAACCTTGACATCAATATCGATGCGTTGATGAGCAGCCGACGAACTGAATGCGTTCGAGACGAAGTCGTGGAGCCCATCCCAGTTTCAGTTCCTATTCCTACACGCAGTGCTCAATCACGATTCACAAACAACAACACCATCGATATCGTAAAGAAATAGAGAATTTCAAAACCACAAACGACGTTTACCACTGAACAAGTGTGTCGGGAGACGGAGAAAGTCGGAAAGGTTTCTCTCCATTTTCTGGAATATTTGAGTCAAGCATGCAATAAATGATTTACTGCGCCTCGTACTCACTCGTACGCGGGCAATACCGGCTTGATACATGACCTCACGGCTGACGCCGTTCGGTCATGTATCAGCCGGTATTGCCCTTGTACTCGCTTGTACTCGTGCAGTAAATCATACGTACAGGCTTGTCAGCAAAGGGGTGAAAAGAGTCATGCAGTGCGTATACATGTGACATGATTAGAGGTAAAAAAAAATTAAAAAGTGCATTTAGCTTTTATGTAGACGTGTGCATGATGTAGAAGGACCCCGAGCGGGGAGTAATAAATACCGGTATTTTTACTACTCCCTGCTTCCGATCGATGTGGACAGCTCAGCCTCGAACTCGTCGCGAGAAGCGCATGCATGCCGTGTTAATGTACATGTAAGTCATTTTTATACGACTTTTTACGTTATGCTGAGGTCTCGGTGCGCCCGGGACCCAGCAAACAGTGCGTTATAGCGAAAATTACGCTATAGTGCGTCGAAATTTGGAGTTTTACGCCAAATTTGACGTGAAATTGCGCATCACGTCGGAAATAACGTGCATCTTAGCCTCTCTATTTTCTCTCAGTTACGAGTAGGCTGTCATCACACGTTCACACTATGGTACAAAGCGCTGCGTCTACGTCCACGTAAGGAGTTTTTGGTCGGTTGCCATGATGATCCACGAACGGGGTGAAAACAGGAGCAGAGGAAACGGAAAACGTAGACGTGGCAGGAGAGAGGGGGGATACAACTAATACGGATGAACGTCCGCACTCTCCCAGTCTTTTCAAAGTGATCTGCTATCTGGAGTTGACGAGGTATTTGTTGCGCTGGAAACAGTCACTGTAAAGCGGGATTCACAGAAGCTGTTTTTGCAATGCGATGGGCGATGTGACGCGATTTGCGACGGAGGCGCACAATGCAAACTCGCGAAATACCAATACAGGAGAAATCAGCGATGCGACGACGCCTTGCGGATTTGGCGCGAAGTTCAATGCAGGTGGGTACGTCACCAAGGTATTCGCGTGGCTTGGTACAACTTGTACAAATTTGGCTCTGAGAGCACTACATATTGTAAATGCAGTGCTCTTAGGGCACAACATTCATTCGCCTGCTCAAGCTCAACTGATGGGGGTGAATTCCTCGAAACACTGTGTATTGAACAGGGATCGGTGCTTTTTTACAGGTTTACAGAGTGGAAGGTTCAATGGACTTCCTGCATGCCCTGGATGGCAGTCGTGCACAATTCGTGAGTCAGTCCAGAGTCAATTGAAGTCGGCAGGAAAAGAACAAGCTCCCGCATAAGGAGCAACATATACTTCGCCAAAGTCGCTACCTCTTCTTCTTCTTCTTAGATTTTAAATGTTTACTAAATTGTGCGTGTGTGTGTGTGTGTGTGTGGTAACTGCAGTTGGACCCCGGGACGGATACCCTGATGCCGTCAATCCTTTTTCTGCACCTTGTCCTCACCCACTTACTGAGGTGTGGTGAGCCCATAAGTGGGATCATTTTCAAGTCCACCCAGAGTTTTGGGGATTTCAGGGGGTGTCGGCCGTTGGGCGGTTCAATAGCCAATTGAGTCATCTTTCCAAGATTCCTTTTGAGTCTCTCTCCCCTCTCCCGGGGAGACCCACGTGGCCAGTTTTGGCAGTGAGCAACAAGTACAAGTGTGTGTTGTGTGTGTGTGTGTGTGTGTGTGTGGCTATGCATTTAGCGTATCGGAGCTGTTGACGCTGGGCATTCGGCGTCTTGGCCTCAATATGCACTTTGTGCCCGGCCTTACTGGAGGTGGGGAAGAATACCGCTTCTGTCGTGGTGATGACCATTTCTTTCTGGGATGTCAGGTATGATAATGCTACAGTATGTACTTTGTAGTCACTAATGTGATGTGCCTGGGTTATTGGCATCATGGTATGAGTTGCATTTGAGGTGTGAAACGAGTGTTTTAAAATGGATGTACGAAGTCTCTGCGCCCCTCGAATGCCCTGGGACAGAACTTCATTCTTGTCTTCAATACCAATTTACATCTTGGCAGGTGAGGCTATACTTTCAAGTAAGTGAAACTCAAATTTGTGCGTACAGTAAAACCTGGTTTAAGCGACCACCTCACGGTGCAAGCTAAAGCGGTCGCTGAGGCCAGGTGGTCTTTAGAACCAGGTCCCACAGTGTCTGTGTAGAACTGTCGGTGCATGGAAAAACGGTCGTTAATTACTGTAGCTAAAAGACCGACGGACAGTGAAACAATGTCAACACTGAGCCATTGCAGCAGTAAATTTCCGTAGAGTGTGAACATTTCCCACTTCAAGTCTTCCTTTCGCACTTATTAGCACTCACAAGACCAGCGTTTGTTGTTTCTGTGATATTGCAATGGATTGCAGTAAGATGGTGTGCTGTTCTGCGTATGCCTTTATTTTTCAGGCCTTGCAGAACGCTATTGGCTTTGATATATGTGCCATCGTATTTGGCATACCTACACTGACTGCCACTACCACGGGATGTTCAGGTGTAAGCATGGGCAAGTTTAGTCTAGTTTACCAGCACTTGTTGTTCATGTGTGTGTGTGTGCGCGCGTGCGTGTGTGTGCGCGTGCGTGTGTGTATGTGCGTGTGTGTGTGTGTGTGTGTGTGTTTGCGTGTGTGAGTGCTAATTTCGGTACACAGTGTACTGCATGCAAAGCAGTGTGCTGTAGCATCTACGGAGACGAGAAGAGAACAAATTCCCCGAAGTGATAAGTCACGATCGTGACTGTGATCTGATGACTCCAAACGTAGTCCAGACAAGAAATGTTGTATGTGTACGTTGCCTTTGCCTCACGGACGAATGAAATGGTCAGTCCACTCGTCGTGTTGTCTCCCTAGATGCTACGATTCCCTATTGTACACGTTTGTATGCACGCACGCCGTCGCAACCATTCTGGATATGTTCTATCTTCTTGTCACTCTGAGTTGTTGCAAAAGTGATCAGAACAGGTAGTATTGTGTATTTAAACCCGTTATGAACAGCACGAGTGCAATCACCCTCTGAATTTTCTGATGGAATTTCTTCTAGTGTGCTGCAGCTACTGCATTAGCGATAGGTCTGTGATAATACCATAATATAATTATGGTATTCATGGAGCTCATGCTATGCGTTTTGTTATTGTTGTTGTTGGTGGTGGTGGTGGTGGTGGTGATGGTGACGATGATGGTGTTCACAGAGCTCTGCTACCATTCAACAGGGTCTAAAGGCCATCTCTGACTGGATTGCTGCGAATGAAACACAGTTGGGCTATGGTATCATCGTCATTGACTTGAGTGACTATGTGACCGATTCTGTCAATAGCTCACAGTTTGTAAGTGTCTATGGTGTGTTCACGGATTTTTCAGCTCTTCTTTCAATTATTTTGGGCTTGTTCACCTGTTTGTATGCCATTTGACAAGTGGTGTCTGCTACAGCATGCAGTTATGCAGCTTGCATCCACACCATCAACAAATTCACTGGAGATTCACCAAACTAAAGATCATGCTGTTGATTATTCTGTCATGTTTGGTGCGTGTTTCTACAGCTTCGTGAAACTGCCACAAGTCACATTCGAAATGTGATTGAGACTACAATTTCCAGTCGAGTCCTGAGTGTTGCTAACCTGGCTCATTTCAGAACGGTACGCACACCTCTAGAGAAGGTTATCCTAGAGGGTCTGCATGCCAGTATTTCGTTTCTGGGTGCCCCATAGGCTGCACTGCTGGCTGTACATTCATTTGGTGTACACAGCTTCTTTTGAAGAGCTAGCTTCTCACAGTCAGTGTTATAACTACAAGTTGTAGACATGAACTGTGGTAGTTCAGGGCAGTAGCGTGCCAGCAGATGTATAGATGGGTTGCACAAGCACTTTGCCATTCTTACTGCTCATCGTCACACTGGTCTTTCAGTGCAATAATCCCCTGCTTGACTATGTGAACTTCTCACTGAGTGCTTCTCTGCGTCTGTGATCCCATGCACATTCACGACTGTACCAGCATGTGGATCTGTCAGAGTGCGCAGCATTTTGCATTGTGTCTTCTGATCTCACTACTAGACATCCAGCTCTGGCACGACAGCGTGGCCATCACCAAAGCAAATAGTTGATACGTACAAGAAGCGGGTAAGTGAGCATGCATACTGTACTGTCAATCTGTGAATCACTCACTCACTGCACTGTGTACCTCTGGGCTTTGATCTAGGAGTTACCAAACTCATATTTCCGAGTTCAAACATTCTTTGGAGGGTGTGATCCAACATACATGAACATCCACCTCTGCTATGCTACCGGGTGTACAAAAACAAAAATCGTAATGGTGTGCACATGCGGAGAAGATTGCTTGCTAAGGTCATCTATGCATTGTGTTGGTCACTGAACATCTCATGCTGAGATTGATACGGGCAAATGTCCACCACTGGCCCAGCCATTGAACTTTCGGCTGAAATTGAACTGCCATCGGTTGGCCTTCAACCAAAATAGAAACTTTTCCCGGGTAGAGCACTGTGCTCTGTACATCATGCAACACCACATTCTGCCAAGCCAAATCTAGTGTGGTTTTCGTTAACTTGAATTGGGGTGCATTATCGGTAATGAGTTGTACTGGTGTACCACGCCGTGAGACAAATCTGCGAAGAGCCATTTAAGAACTGGTCACTTGTCATATTCGGCACAACTTCTAAGTGAATCGCGCGTACCGTCAGACAAGTATATAAGCACACCTATACCTTAGATGATTCACCATTGTCATTGCGAACGTACATTGGACCAAAATAGTCAACACCTGTATAGGCAAATGGTTTGGACCTGGCAATCCTCTCCTTGGGGAGGGGTGGCATTACGGGCAATCTGAAAGGTTTACCTTCCCATCGCTTACACATCACACATGACTTTAGTATGTTTCTTACAATTACACGATCACTTGGTATCCAGTATTCATTCCGAATTTGTGCCAATGTGTGATTCGTACCTGAGTGTAGAACCCGTCTGTGGTAAGACTGTATGACCAATTCTGTAAAGGGGTCGTGTTTTGGCAACAGGATTGGGTGGCGGGCATCATATGCCATCTCTGCATTCGCCAGTCTGCCGCCACAACGTAAGATACCATTATCATCAGTAAAGGGATCAAGTTGTTTGGCATTGCGTTCCATTTCTCTATTGTGCTTTTCCTGCACGTACTTTACCCAAATGTTTCTGGCATTAGTTATTTCCGAAGTTGCGAGCTGCTGCTGGTTTTTAACCGATTTCCGATTAACAAATCGGACTGCATATGCCGTTATCCGGAGCAATTTGCTGAGAGATGAGTACTCTGAAGGGTTCATGCCGAAAGGAGGCGGGATATTCTCCGAAGGACCCTCCGCGACCGCAGCAGTGATCTCAGTCGCTTCAGTCGTTTCAGTTTCCGGTTTAATTGGTGGTGGCCAAGAAGCTGTTGATGATGAAAGCCAGTCTGGACCATTCCACCAGAGCTGATTGTCTTCGATGTCACCAGTTGTCGTTCCACGAGAGGGAAGGTCTGCAGGGTTTTCTCGCGTCCGAACATACCGAAATTGGATGGTACTGTCTTGACGTATTTCCCGTAGGCGGTTCTCGACAAATGTTGGCCGTGTCTTGTTCCTGCCTTCGATCCAACCTAGAACACACTGTGAGTCCGACCACAGGTGAACTTCCGTCAGGGGAAAGGGCAGCTGGTTTTTCAAGAATGTCACCATCCTTGCTCCGATTAGAGCAGCGAGTAGCTCAAGGCGGGGAGTGGTCACGGCCTTGATTGGCGAGATTCTGCTCTTGCTGTAGATCAGATGTACTGATGGGGAACTATCTTCATCGCCAATTGTCCGTAGGTACGCGGCTGCGCCGTAAGCACCATTTGACGCATCGCAGAAAACGTGAAGCTCTCTCTCTCTCTCTGCGATGCTTGCTGTCCTTGATCGCCGACGTAGCGGGGAACCTGGACATTACTCGCCTTGTGCAGATCAGTGGCAATTGGCCGCCAACGCTCCATGATGTCTGGGGGTAAAGGATCGTCCCAGCCAATGTCCCGCTTCCAAACTTCTTGTATGAGCAACTTCGCGCGTGTGATGATGGGTGAGAACAGGCCCAGTGGATCATAGAATTGGGACATCTCGCTGACCAAATCTCGCTTCATCCTCACAATTCTGTCTGGGCTGCTCATTGGACTGATGCTGATTAAATCGAGCTCAGTGTGCCACTGCATTCCCAGAACCTTTGCCGTCGCTGTTGATGCCTTATCTTTCTCTGGAATCGACTGCATGAATTCTTTGCTGTTCGATGACCACTCTCGCAAGTTCATCGACGCCTGGTCAAACAGCTGCTTGCCTTGTTCGTAGTGATGAACAGCACTGGTGACAGTGTCTGTTCCGCTGATGTGATTGTCCACGTACATGTTCTGCTGGATGTCGGCTGCCACATCACTGCTGGCTGTCTTGAGGTGGTGGTTGACAGTGGCTGCCAATAAAAAAGGGCTGGACACGACCCCGAAGGGCACCCTCTGGAACCTGAAAATGCAAATGTTGTCAGGTGTCGCAGGTTGGTGGATGTTCTTGAGCCACAAGAATCGTGTAAATTCTCGACCTGGCATTGCTAAGCCGATTTGCAAGAATGCCTTTTCAACATCACTGGTGATCGCAATAGGGTTGAGTCGAAACCGGATGAGGATGCCACACAAGTCAGGTAGAAGTGGCGGGCCGCTGTGAAGGCAGTTGTTCAAGCTTGGCACATCTGGCCTCACTTTCGCTGAAGCATTATATACCACCCGGATCTTGGTTGTTCGGCTGTCTGGTTTTACTACGCAGTGGTGAGGGATATAGTGCCTCTGATTCGGGTTGTCCTCGTCATCACCATCCGCAATCTCTTCTATGATTCCCGCTGCTAGCTGGTCGCGTATGGTGTCATCATACTTCTGGAGGACTTCTGGTGTCTTCGAAATTCGATTTACCAGTGACTTCAAGCGGCCGAATGACAACTCAAAGTGTTCTGGTAGATTCTCCATCTCACCAGAGTCCTTCCACGGCCAATGTACGACATACAGTGAGTATCGTTTATAAAGTGACGGGGTGTAACGATATACCGGCTATAATGATAGAACTCGCCAAAATCAAAATCAAATCAGAAAAAATGCAGCTAAAATATCACTATACACAATATTATCGGCTATACCGATATATCGCTTATTGTGATGGGCTTCAGGAAGCAAACCATATCAAATGTACAGGAAAACATCGCGTATAATGATCAAGAGTGATGATCACAAAAACAAGTGTTCTTCCAATAAAGTTCACTTCTTCCAAAACTGATCCAGTGTTGCCTGGATGCACCTGGCAGCAGACATGAGTGAGAGAAAATTCTTCCCTGCAAGGCTGCATGCTGTAAGCAGCCACATGTACACGTGGCTGCATTTTATACTTTTTCCAGCGTGTACGCATCATTTCATGCCCAGTCATGTGCCATGTGTGGTCATACATGCAAATCGGCTATAGTGATGCACCGGATATAGTTTTGTTTTTTCACGGCTGAGCGTAGCGAAAGAGTGCAAAAAACGTATTTTTCACTCACAAATATTTTCGTGCATTTGCTCTTGTTCTGCGCAACTCCGTTGAACCTGCCATCGTGGTCTTTGTTTTTCCTCGTGGTAGTTGAAGTTGCCCGCCCACCCACCCTGGTTTCATGGGAGTCGTCCGCTGTTCTTCTTGACAATCTATGCCTATGTGTGTGGCTTATGATTATGACATACACCGGTTATTACATACCATTTCTTGCTATCTCTATTCTTGGGTCTGACTGGCAGCGGGGCAGGAATTAATGAAAATAGAAAGGTTTTTTGGCCGAAAGGCGTGTTTTTCCTCTAGCCCGGTTGAGCGGTCGCGGCTAGGAATGTAGGGAGTCATTGTTTTTCAGGCGCTCCCCTGCTGCCCAGTCACCCATGCTCACCACTGGCCATGCTGTTTCACTTGATTTCACGGCCTTTTCTCCCGCTTGCTGGCGGTTCTTTGATGGATTTAGATGTTTTTCGGCTATTTATCTATTCTGTGGCTGCGAGTGTGGTTTTTTGCTTCTACTCATTTCTGGAAAACCACCACGGTGGTGAGTGTGATTGCTCTGGTAGACCACTACCCTGAGTGTGATTGCTCTGGTAGACCACTACCCCATGTACTGAACAGTCGCTTTGTGAGTGAAAAGTGATAAATTATCGAAAATCAAAGGGGCACGTTATATCCAGTATTTACTGTATCTGCCATTCACGAATTGCACTTTGTCTTCAAATTCTCGCAAGACTGCGTGATCCTTGTCGACTGGCAGATCTACCTCATCTTTGATTCCGATCTCTTCAAGACTCCAAAACTTCCTCTAATCGAAGTCGGATGCTGGAAGGTCGCCTGCGTCAACCATGAACACGCGGGGGTCCGGGTCTCTATCTTGACCAACTCGACCGGTGGGAATCAACCCCAACTTGGTATCTAACAGGATGAGACCATCATCTAACCGAACGTGATCTGTGCCGATGATGTCATAATAGAAGTCACTTCCAATCAAGATATCTACCTTCACCACTTCGGGCTCAGCCGCAATGGGCTCGGCAAGCGCCATTTTTTGCAAACATGAGTGTTTCTCCAAGCTCAGTGGAAGACGCATCATGGATGAACTGATGTGTGGAGTGATGTTTGCTGTGATCGGAATGCCTCCACCATCAGGTGTCCTAATCTCGAATGCAACTTGTGGGAGGACCTTCGTTTCACGCGACTCTGAGCCAAATCTGGCGATTGACAACACATCTTCTCCGACGACTTCAGCCTCTAAGGTGCTTTGCGCTGATTGGCTGATGATGGATCTGGTTGAGTCGGTGTCAAAGAAAATACGAACGTCGCAAGATTGCTGGCTCGCAGGGCTGAATGTTTCTGCGACTGCCATCTGCATCATCACCGATGCCTGACAATTTTCGTGGACTTGTACGTCGACCTGCTCAATGCCTTGTCCGGGTGTCTGGCAATCGGCAAGAGTTGATAATGCCCTTACCGGCTGATACGGTTGATACGGTTTCGCTGTGTTGTTGAGTGGCTCTGAAGGAGTAAACTTTGCCGGGCAGAGTGATCGGTGATGTGTCACTCGATGACAATGATGGCATGGTCGTGCTGACCTACATGCACGTGCACTGTGTCCGTCTTTCAGACAGATGTAACACTGTGTGGTGATCTTTGCCTTTCTCTTCTCTAGGGTTGGATAGCGCTTACACTCATCAGTAAAGTGTGTCTCCTTGCAGTACGAGCACGTCGGTTGGCGTTTCGTGCTGTGAGCTACGAGGGCTTCTGCTGCTGATCTGCTAACCCGTGTGCTGCTGAAGGACTTAGCTTCGCTCGCTATCGGTACAGGCTCTTTCCTAGTTGTTTGTGCCTGATCGGTGGCCTCAAGTGCTGACACATACCGCGAAAGGGCCTTTCTCAGCCTGTCAAAGGACCGCGTTTCTGATTCTGCTCTGCCAAGCTCGAGCTGTGCCATTACCGACCGCAGTAATTTGGATTTTATGACAGGAACCAGCAGTTCCTGATCAATGCTGCGACCCAATGCTTGCAAGCTGCGTACGTGCATTTCTAGGTTGGCTGAAAATTGCCTCAAAGATTCCGGCCTGGTGGATGGTTTCTCCATTTCGATTAGAGCCATGTAGTGTGTCTCAGCGATCACTTCTGGCTTGCCAAATCGCTCATTGATTAGCCGCAATGCTACTTTGTAATGATCTCCCGTAAGAGACAGACCGGCTATGCACTCAAGCGCTCTACCCCTTAGGTGTGATTTGAGGTAAGATAACTTCTCGACATTAGATAAACCATCGTTGTTGTTCACTGTGGCATTGAACAAATCAATGAATGTAGTGTATTCCAACATATCACCATTGAACACTTGTAATTTCAGTTGTGGTAATCGACAATTTACTGAGGGTGTGTTCTCCCTTGTCTCCCTCCCTTGCTTTGTCAGCTTCACCAATTCTGTCAGTGCATCTCCAATTCTGCTTGAATTTGTGTCATGTTGTACTGATGGCATGACTTGATCTCCCTTGTCGCGTAGCAAATATTTCAATTTGGTCAAGTTCTGCGTGTTCTTCCTCAGCAGTTCATCCCATTGCTCACACGTCTGCTCCTCTGTTTTTTTGTACTCTTGATCTTCTGTCCGTTTACTATCGAAAGCGTACACGTGATGAGTAAATGTATCCACTGCATCAGCAGCAGCTTGAACGTACCCCTCTAATACAAACACATGTTGCTTGAGCTTACTCCTTTCCTCTGCTGTGAGCGCTGACTTGTCGAGTTTCACAAGGTTCTCCGTAGTGACGTCCAACTCCGTGATGTTCTTCACGGAGCGTGTAGTGCGCTGCCGCTTCGTACGGAGTGCAGCTAGATTGTCCGCCATGCCTCCCGGGTTTCGGCATCAAAGAAATGTCGTGACCTGGTTCAAACTATTACTAATTTATTACTATTGGGAACTATTCCATGGACAGCATCTTGATGCTACAATCCATAAGATTCTCTACAACACGCAGAGTCTAGCTGTGTGCTCTATGCACAGAAGTCCACTCCAAGTCAAACACTCGTTGCAAACATATCCAGAATAATTACTTCCAATAATTCTGTCTCATTTCCAAACTTGTCCCAACTGGGCACAGAACAATAACTAATTCAAAAGGCAATCCAAAACAACTCTATCGCGCCAGCCTAAAGAAACATGATAAACGGCCGGCTGGTTCAATTCAAATGTAGCGATATGTGTACCTGACGTAGCTGAGTACAACTTATGTGTAGCATTCTAGCAGTTACCTGAAGCGTACATCATACATTCGCGTAGCCAAAGAATGCCAACAAAAGTAGCATAGGGTCAAATACAACGTAAATTCAAACATAAGCAATCGCTTTGCGACAAATGTCCACCACTGGTCCAACCATTGAACTTTCGGCTGAAATTGAACTGCCATCGGTTAGCCTTCAACCAAAATAGAAACTTTTCCCGGGTAGAGCACTGTGCTCTGCACCAGGTTGATATTGGGCTGGGCACGATACGCATTACTGGCTACCAGCATGTGGTGATACGTGCCTTCACACAGTCAAACATATTGCTTAGTGGCATGCATGGTAGCTGTCTTGTTGACTCCTCTCTTCTCCTTCCTTTGTTTACGCAGGTTGTCATTATCGTGTCAGAGGAGGACTCAGTTATTGCTGGTGACTATGTCCATGCCGTACCGTCACCAAGGAGCTCAGTAGCCAATTGTGAGTGTGCATTCTTCTATTTCACTCTCTTCCCCTGGCTGAATTCTCAGCTTTTGCTGGTGTCGAGCTTTTCAAGTTTTGGCTTCCGGGGCGCGCGCGCGCGCGGGGGGTGTGTGTTGCCTTTGTGAAGTTCAGTGTTCTGTGTGGGATAAATTCCAACTCAGCCTGGTCTGCTGTATGCACTTGAAAAACCAGACAAAGTGTAGCTGGGTTTTTATGAATTAATGGCCTATGTGGCTTACGAAACTGTTTGTCCTGGTCACGATGTGCATTGTCACGTGAGGAATTCCTTTGCTATAAGTATGCTGGTAATTCGCATGGAAGTACTGCAACTTGCAGCTTGGTGTTTTTAATGCACCCATGTTTGTGATGTTGCTTCATACAATCAAGAGTCCATAAACAAGAGTATGCAACTGTGATCTCTTTTCTATGGGCCAGATGCGCGGCGCGCTGCCTTCATTACATCATTCAGCTGCAGTCCGCGCTCTGCGGAAAATCAAACACCGCACTTTCCCTCTGGTTTGAAATGAACTTTCGTACGGGACTGGAGTTCACGCGCCAGAATTCAGAGATCGCTTAGGTACTGGAACGAATCGAGCAAAAACGGATGGGCTCGTACGAGAAATTGTGAGTTTGAATGCATGCTTTCAGAGCTTGATGAAGGCAAGTTACGTAATGAAGGCAGCGTGCCGCACACTGACCCATAACCACAGTTGCATACTCTTGTTTATGCACTCTTGATACAATGGTTTTGTCTTTGTCACTCTCATCTTACCGTGCTCAGCTGAGAATTCAGTGAACAATTTTCTTGCCAGCAACCCAACAGCAGGCACCTGCCCAAGAAGTGTGGCTGCATTCCAGCCAGTCTATGAGAGTCGCAAGTTATTGCTGGTACGACCCACTGTTTGACTTTGTGCCCTCTAGTGCCGTTTCCTTTCTTCTCTTGTGTAATTTATAGTGCAGATAGAACAACTGGTAGAGGCATCCAAGACTGGAAGAGAGATGTCATACTACTAGTTTGGTTTATAAAAACTTGCGCAATGAATGAATGCTTAGTTTGACTCACCACTCACGCACTAGCGATGTTCCCACACTGAGCAGGACACTATGACAAGTAAAGTGTTGCCATGGCAGACAACGAGACAAAATTTACTGACTGACGTCTCGATGCATGCGGTACATGCACAGTTTTGCCGCTCTCGTGACAGAGCATGCAGATTGAGCACAGTGGCTCACCGTGCATGCCTTTTGATCTTTTTTGTTTTCACTTGGGACAAGTTGCATTTTTGGTGGCTCTCGGAATACCTCTCAATCCCAAGTAACAATATCGTTTCGAGAACCAGAACACCTCCAAGTATATTTTAAGCGTTCAGAAATTATTTGTGCGTGGCGATTTGCTCTTCCACCAAAGTTACGCACAAACACTGGTATTCAAGAACAGTGACTGATCTGTATCTGTAATGTTCTTGTCTATGCTGTAGCTGAATGAAACCAATGCTGGTCAGTTTGTTCAATTGGTCTCCACTGAAAATGGCCCTCAGGAGGTTGGCGCTATAACTGCAACACTGGCACAGCGTCTCCTGGAGTGTGGGCTAAGTCCCTCGTTGGATTACATCAGTGTCTCAAGTGTAAGTAACAGTTTTAATACTATTCTGCTGTCCACTGTGCTTTCCGTTATTCTAGTAAAATCGAAGCAGCCCATTAGGTGACTTCATATTATGTGCTCTTACTTGCTACCTCTCTCCATTTGGAAGGTTACAATCTACAACGCTGTAAAGGTGGTTTGTGTGTGTGTGTCGAGGCATCATCACAGGACAGGAAAGTATTGTCTTGGCATGTCTAGATGCAAAGAGTATAGCATGTGTGTGTGTGTGCGTGCGTGTGCGTGTAGATCAAGATAAGCCTTCTGCGCTACTCACCGCGTTTTTTACTCCTTCAGCCCTGACCATGTCCACCTGCATTTGCTCCGTGCTCTTCACGACATGTCTCTGTCTGCTCCACCAGATTGCATCATCCTGCATTTGGACATACAGTGAGGGACAAATGCCATCAAGTTCTGTAAGTGCACAATGTGACATAAAAGTGGAATGGTATTAGATTTTGACGAGCGCAGCTGAGGACACGAGGACCCTGCAGATGGATGTCATTGATCCTTACCCGTAGTGCTTTCTTGCCTATCAGTGGGAGCACTACCAGTGATTTACTCTGCTTTCCACTAGCATTCCTGGCATGAGCGGTTATCACAAGAACTTGGTGATAGAGTACCCTTTCAGTAAAACTCTCTTCGGTGAACACCTTTGTACTTGTGTGGATGATAATTATATGCCTGTAGCTATACACTACACATACATACATGCCAATATTTGCTTTGTGTCGGAGCACATGCTTAATTAATACAAGTACGGCAATCTCTCTTCCTCTCGAAAATCTGCTCCTGCCCTGGGCTTGGTGTCAGAGGTGACAGCTTGTGTTTTTCCTTGACAAATCCTGGTGTAGTACTAAGTGTTCCTGTACGGAATGTTTCCTTCAACCTACTATTAAAGTATGAACCTGCTAGATAAGACTGAGAGTGGTTGTGTACACTTGATAAGACCTAGAGTACTGCACAATCCATGCTGCATGCATGCAACCATAACGTTTTGCTTTGTTTGTTTATTTGAAGGATCCTTCGAAAGCAGATCGATGTGTGTGTGTGGGGGGGGGGGGGGGGTCTTCTATGGAGTACTGGTCTCGTAGGGCAAGAGTTCATACATCCCCTCGTCCTGGTAAAATATAAGATATCATTATATCGTAGGACGCGTGAGAAAGATGGCAATCTATCCCTTGCTTTTCCACTTCCATGAAGGGTGATGCGACGGTACTTTACAGTACTCGCCCTTCAATGTTGCTTCTTGTTTCACATTGTTTCATCTGAGTTGCGTTGTTGGTCCTGCCGTGTACCGTGTGTGTGTGTGTGTGTGTGTGTGTGTGTGTGTGTGTGTGTGTGTGTGTGTGTCCGTCTGTACTGTGTATATTGTGTATGCTGGGTACTGTGTGCGTGTAGGGTCAGCAAGTTCAGTTCAATGCAGCGCAAGGGTGGACTACTGCCAGTGATGCTGGCCAGGCGCAGTTACGTAAAGCATGCCAGAGTGTATCAGATGAAACAGCATGGACGGTACGTCAGTCGTTTGATAACACCCACTGTCTTGTTCAAAGCAACAATCTTCCCCTGCTCTCTCAGCACTTGAGCCCTTGGCAGCAAAAATATTCTGGAAAGTGGTTCTAAATAATTTGACAACTGAACACGGTTGGGGTTTTCGAATGTGCTTCATTTTTACCATCACTGTTGAATGAAGTGGTCGATATAATAATATTAGAGAGGTTTTGCATTCCGAATTTCGGAATGATTTTCGACTGTGCTTTTCCGAAAAAAGCGCGTTCCGAAAAACGGTATTTTCAGTGTTTTGCATTCCGAAAATCTGATTCGACTTCGTTTCCAAGGGTTGCTATGCAAAACAAAATGGAGAGCGTCGAAGGGGTTGAGCAGGATCAAATCCATGTGCGCAGGTCAAACTGAATTATTTGGGTGCGGTTCGAAGACGAGGACGGACTGATGGTGGACCAAGTGATCCAACAGCTGAAGACGAGGTTGGCGAACTACTGTCTTGTACTGTCAGTAGGCTTCATGGCAAAGGAAGATAGAGTGTGATGGAGTGTGAGAAGATTAGTCCACATGGCGAGATCAGCGAGAGCAGCAAAACCAGCAAAAATCAAATCTACATACGTGGAAAATTTCAAATAATCGAGATCGAGAGCTAGCAGCAGAAAGCAAAAATACAAACATGAAAAATACACTTTTTTGTATTCAAATATGCACTCCCAAACATGAAAGAGCCGAAAATCCATTTTCGGAAAACCATGCACTTTCGCCACCACACTTCCGAAAGTTCGACTACTTTTTCGACTGTTGCCGCCACATTCCGAAAATAATTCCGAAATTCGGAATGCAAAACCTCTCTATTATCATAGTTGCATTACAATGAATTACATCCACCTATGAACTGAGTGTGTGTGTGTATGTGTGTGTGTGTGTGTGCGTGTCGCTTTGCGTCTGTGTGTGTCGCTGTGTGTGTGTGTGTGTGTGTGTGTGTGTGTGTGTGTGTGTATTGCTGTGTGACACTACATCCTACCTGCACACAGCTTTCAGAAGCAGGTGACCCATGTCCAGCCTCCTTTCGGTTTGCTGTGCCTGACAGTCCCCAGGAAGTGGCTGCATTACGCCTTACCCTAGTTCAGGCTAATGTTGATTCAGTTTTGCTGCCATCCAATATGCCTGGTGTCACAAGCGTCCAAGATGGTAAGATATGACAGTACATAGGGTAATGTTATTGCCCAATCATGGCCAATGTATGAACTTCTGCAAATACCGGCGTACCTCCATGTTAGCCACTCATCCATCCATTCCGAACGTTCACTCCAATGGGCATCATCAGCGAATAAATGAGGCGGGGGCATTTGTAATGAATACGAACATTTGGTCACTTGAATCAATTGTTACGCCGGGATTCCCATGGGCAATTATGTTGAGTACGAGGGGAGGGGGTTAAGACGAATTTATTCTCATGCCTGCAATTCAGTACTGGAGTAGTGTTTCGAGTTGCAAGCGGACCGTTTCCCTGACTAGAGAGATATTGCTGTAAGCTCAGCTTTCAAAGTATCTGTGCTCAATATCCTGAATGGACCTGTATTAAAAAGATCTTTTTTTGGGAATCTTGTTTGTGAACTTCTTATCACTGTTCTTGACCATAATTGTGCAGACGACTCAGCAAAGTCATCTAACGCCAAGACAATCGGTGAGTTTCTTTGGCATGCCGGTAGTACCCATGTGTTCTCCATGCACCGCTGCACCGGCTGGCGTGCCCATTACGTCTACTTGCATAAGACTGCATTCATAGGCATGGGCGTTGCATAGATTCTATGACCCAGGAAACATTCTTGCCACTTGCTGAATGTTCAAACATGAATGAAAAGGTCACTGTGGGGGCTTGACACTAGTGCACTTGACTTGATTTTAGACTTGTGAGCGCCATTTTCAACATGGCAACAGTCAAGGACCAAAATAAAGTGTTCAGTTGAATCTGAAGGATCCGACAGATCTGAGATCTGGATCGCGCTTCTTACCAATCAAACATGCCCCAAAACTTCCACGAATAATTTCGAGCTAGCTATAAGGTGCCACTGTGTGGAAGCAGCTTCATGATTTCCAGTACGAGGTAGCGCGGGTGGTCAGGGTAGTCAATCACCAAAACACCATTACTGTACCACGAACTAAAGAAAAAAAAGAATTCACGCTCCTGCCTCAGTAGCTGTACGCATGTTGTACTAGCCTGCAGTACAACGTACATGTACAATAATGGTGCTCAAACTGTGTGCACGCGATCTACTGTATGGTTCATCTTGGAACGTGTGGTGGCAAGGTGTGCGCAGCGGTGCTGGCCGAGTGTCGCACAATGTTCACGCACATATTTATGAGATAACTGGCAATGGACAAGACTCTATGTCAGAACAGTGGAATAAGACCACCGACCGGTATCTGTATGAGAATACTGTACAAGCAGAAATATTCGGCGGGAATTTAATTTCATCGGTTTCGGCCAAAGAGTTTTCAGACTAAATTTAATGTAGGCCCGAAGGTTGATTTGTCGGTGTTGTAGGTGTACGTTGCAACATCAGATTCATCTGGGTCCCCGCACCGGCGTGCACTGTCCATATGCCACTTTTGTTCAGAAGGGTACAGGATCCAGCATGCACAGTTCACATGCCACTTTTGTTCATAAATGTAGAGAACCTGTCCCAGTGGCAGGCTGGGGGTTGTACATTGTCCAATTTCCCAGCCCTGACTGCCGGTGATTCCCTGTATGGTTTTGGAATGTTTGGCACTGCTTCACATAAGCACACTGACTGGGAGAGGCGGCATGAGACACTCCTGATCCTGTAACTACCGGTACTGGTGCATACCCGCAATCTGTGAATAGCCCTACAGCCCTGTAACCCCACCATCTGTATTGTAATTGACTCTGTTGTTATTTGTTGGATGCTATCATTCCCAGGCATTGCAGTTGGCGTGTCAGTCGGCATTGTAGTGCCAGTGGTGGTGATTCTACTTGTGATCGTCAGACAGCGTAAGAGGGTCTGTGCTGGTGATGCTGACACCGCTGACACCAATCCGGTCGTGTCGCAGAAGGATGTCGCCGATGCTTGAGTTGTAATGTTCTTCACCAGAACTTTGATGCGGTGTCGACGCTAGTACCGCTGCTAGTCATTTGTAGCAACTGTTGTTGTTTCTCATCATGCACAGATGCTGGATACTGGTCAGTAACGTCAGCTACTTTCATACAATGATAAAGTGCTCCAGGCAGAAATTGTCAATACTTGTAGTGCAACAGGTTGTTCTACATGTTCATGCATGTGATTGAAGTGGAAACATTGTCATCACTGTGTGTGGTCTGCTCTTGCAGTGCTGTTAGATCTGTAGTGTTGACACTATTTTTGTTTGTATTCGTCACCTGTCATCTCGCAGTAGTTTGTACTTTTCTCGTCTTTTTAATTATTTAGGTTCTCACAGATAGGCAGAGACGCATTTTCAAATTTCTAGTATAAAACCGTTCACTGCGCATTGTGTGTGTGCATTCACATACCACATTCATGTGCCGTATTTCCTGGATTCAGTCGACCTTTTGGTTTAGAAAGTAGTGAGGCCTTGCCAAGGATTGACTTCTGTTCGAATTTTGACTGACATGTGTGCTTGGGATTTTCAAGGACAATCACTGGAGTATGCATTCCACACATGCTTGGGCGCTGCTAGTGTACTGTGTTCCATGGCTGTACAGACCACCTGTGAGTGCGCAATGTACAGACCACCTGTGAGTGCGCAATACACGAAAATACTTCCCTGCTCGCACTCGAAATCATTCACACATAACAGTGTCTGATAATTCGAACCTCAGACCAGGCTTGTTTCCCTAACTAAAAGTTCTGCGAAATTCACTATCTGACATAGAAAATGTGTGGGATTCCTGCTGATAATTCCAAGTCCACTGTGCACGGCACTGGTCAGTTCAGAAGGCTTTTAAAAGTGGCCAGTCCAGAGTACATGAAGTCTGCGTGTATGGTGCATGTCGCAACTCCATGTGACAGTGCGACTTCTAGTATTTGTGACGTGCACACTGTGTTATGGTCACATGTTCGGATAATGTGAATTTACGATTTTAGAGGCTTCTCCTCGGCAATCTGGGGTTCCAATCATCAGGATCCCACTTGTAGTACACAGCCCTCACAAGACATGCAATGACGCCAGGAATACATAACCCAAAGAGTGCGCAACTCCTGCTGTCCCAGCAGAATTTCAAGTTGCAGTCAGTCATCTTTATGATACCATGCTTCTCTCACGAGTGATATCCGGCGTTTGTGCCGGGTGCTAAAGAATCACACATATTTCCTTGAACAAAATTTGTACTGAATCAAATGGGGATTTGTCCATCACAGGTCCAGGATACATCTGATAATACAAAGTCATGTGCAATGCGCATGCATCATAAGATTGGATTCAACTTGAAATTCTGTCGGGACAGCATCCATAGTGGAATTGCACACTGTTGCTGGTTACCAGTATGTACTCTTCATACAATCCTGTACATGTTTTTCTATTTTGACAGCATGTTACAAGGCGAGGACGCGTAGTGCTCCTGACTACAACCATAACCCGGTTGGCAGAGTCCCGGTCTTGCGACCATTTGAACCGTATTGGGAAAAACCAGGTTCGGACCCTCGTTACTCTAGGGGTTGGTAGGATTTTTTATAATTTTCGTTTTTCGTGTTGTAGAAGTCGTCGTGTTGCCGCCGTAGTATTGTTCACGTTGCTGCCGCTGCAGGGATCACGTCTGGAAAGGATTTGTGATGTTATTTTCTTGTCTTCCTCTGTAATTAAATTATTTGTAATTTATATTTCTTTTTTCTTTTGTTTAAACAGTCGACGAGGAGACAATAGTCGTAAAATGGCAATAAATAAGATAAATTGTGCACTCATAACAACAGCAAAAATGAAGAAAGTCAAGTTCCATAACGTTTTCTTGTGACTGTCATCAGTGGAACGCCGTCACATAAAAATGTAATAACTAAAACACACACTTATATACATGTAGCTAATATGGTTTCAGGTAGAAATACAGCAGCTAACAAGTACAAAAAGCGAAGTTTGCACCTTTGCAATGTGTGAATATAGTGTATGTGAGAAAGGTAGTGGCAGATGAATGTGATACTGTGTGAATGAATGTAATGGTGCGTGTGTATTACTTGAAGAGTGTGAGTGATACAACGTTTTCTTTCTGTTTGCATAGCACAGGGTCACGAGTACGAATATACACAGCTTCCAACACCTGCAATTGCTTGAAGAAACGTGCGCAACGAATAACACTAAACCAGGAATCGTCAAACACCTTACGACATTCTGGACTGGACACCAAATGCTTGTACACTGCAGACTTCCTCTTGTCAACATCAAACTCCTCCTCATCACTACTCTCATCCTCCACCTCCATTCCAATGCCGCCGTCCATCCCATCGCACTCGTATTCGTCGTCATCAGTCTCCATCTCCTCGCAACACCGCTTCCCTCTCCTTGATTCGTTCTGTGCCGTGCCTGTGCTTCCTCCTGCGTCTCCTTGCCTTGTGTTCTCCACTTGTCTCAGTCGTGCCTCTGCTAGTCTCTTGCTTCTCCTCGGTTCTGCTCTGTTTTCAAGTTGTTCCCCTTCCGCTCTTACCGTTGTAGCAACATGGTTTGTCGAGGAGCGACCGTCCGGCGGCCTCCCTTGCCGTGGTCCGGTTTCCGAGCCGGAAACCAGATTAGTCTGCTCGTTCTCCATGGAAGTAGTCGGTGCTTCTGTTTCCGAATTGTGAGCCGTGCTAGGTGTAGAAATAGGCAGCGGATGTTTTCGTGGTCTCCCACGCTTCGGCCTGCTTAACCTGGCAGCCTGGGACAACAATGATAATGGGACGTGCTGCTTGATGCGTTCGGACATTGCAAAGGTGCAAACTTCGCTTTTTGTACTTGTTAGCTGCTGTATTTCTACCTGAAACCATATTAGCTACATGTATATAAGTGTGTGTTTTAGTTATTACATTTTTATGTGACGGCGTTCCACTGATGACAGTCACAAGAAAACGTTATGGAACTTGACTTTCTTCATTTTTGCTGTTGTTATGAGTGCACAATTTATCTTATTTATTGCCATTTTCTTTTGTTCTTTTTCTTTTTTGTTGTCTTTTTACAACTTCTGCCCATGGCGTCCTTCTCTCAGCTCGTCAGCTGTAACAGTCATAGTCATCACCATGACGACTGTTGTGAGAAGGTGCTCGCTGCAACAGTCGTCATGGTGATGACTATGACTGTTACAGCTGACGAGCTGAGAGAAGGACGCCATGGGCAGAAGTTGTAAAAAGACAACAAAAAAGAAAAAGAACAAAAGAAAAAAGAAATATAAATTACAAATAATTTAATTACAGAGGAAGACAAGAAAATAACATCACAAATCCTTTCCAGACGTGATCCCTGCAGCGGCAGCAACGTGAACAATACTACGGCGGCAACACGACGACTTCTACAACACGAAAAACGAAAATTATAAAAAATCCTACCAACCCCTAGAGTAACGAGGGTCCGAACCTGGGTTTTCCCAATACGGTTCAAATGGTCGCAAGACCGGGACTCTGCCAACCGGGTTATGGTTGTAGTCAGGAGCACTACGCGTCCTCGCCTTGTAACATGCTGTCAAAATCGAAAAACATGTTAAACTACCAAGCAAGGCTTCTGTATATACCAACCCTGTACATGTAGCTAGCTGTACATGTAGCTAACTGTTGTGGACATGGAAATCCGGTGGAATGACCAGTGCCTTCACGCGTACACGCAATAGTTCACGTGCACACAGTGCCCACGGCTGCACCGGTGGCGGCTTTACTTCTCAACGGATTTCAATGTCCACAACAGCACATGCCTGCTTGCAGAGGATGGTGATTGGCTGTAGCGCAGACAACCATCACATGACGTGCAATAAAGCCATGTAGCTAACATGCACACTGTACAAGGGGAACACCGCACAAGATACGGATTATTTGTTGCAAACCCCACAAAGGTTAGACCAGTAGATAGACTGCACTCTTATAGGCCATTCACACGACGTGCAAACTCACTTTTATACTCCTGTTTCCAAGGATATTTACTCGCATATGATAAACTTGGACACACGCGTGCAAATTATTTTTGAACTTGGCCATGGCCTTTGTGCTCACGACTATACTTTGCACACGAACAAAAGTGTCGGTTGTTGAAAGTGCGCGCAGCAAACGCAATGTGTGCACCGTAAAGTACCGCCAGAGCGCCCGTCTCGCGAGAGCGCCCCACCTTGATTTTACAGCCAGGGAAAAGAAAATCGTATGGCAGAATACTACGAAGTATGTATGGTGTGAGAACCTCCGTGTACTAAGGTCACATTTGGCATGTTTTTATGTGGAGCTCGCATCCGCTCGAAGGTAAACTGGGTACGGATTGACTGCACAACGTGCAATGTGTGTACAAGGTCCGTGCCGTATGACCTACAGACAGGAAACTACCTCCACGAGACGACCACGAAAGGACGAGACGGTGGGGTGCTCTGGCGGTACTTTATGGTACTACTATTTCAAAAGGGAAAATTAAAAAAATTAAATTTCCCGGCATTTTCAGGACATCACTATGGATACATTGACGCATGTGAAGTTTGCCCAGGCCAGCACCCTGCCAACTGGATCACGGTTTGCAAGTGACGTCTTGGTCACTAGCGTGCATGTGTTTCACGTCATGTGAATGACCTATTAGTATTAGGATTGGGTTGTGTGGCGTGTGCTCCTGCTAGGACCAAGTCCAAGTACGCACGTGCAGTGGATAAGTATTCCAGAACTTGATTCAAATAATTATAATAGTCTACCCCTGAGGGCCTAGAGAACAAAGGTGTGATTGTATGTGGTAGGTCTACTAGTATCAGGAAACATTACATTTAATTTTGTACCGTGTAGCACAGCTTTTGAGTGACGTATTTTCGAGGATGGAGGTTTACTACTGTAGTACAGTACATGAATAATTATGTAGTCAGTTTTTTTAACCCAACGCAACAATGTCAAGACCTACCCTTGCAGCGTATATCATGGTATATCAAACTAACTTGCATGGAGCTATAATCTCACTCTCCACTACTCCACCGCCGCCAGTGGCCCGCACGTACCTTCAAGCTATTCTCACAGTCACAAGTTGGTTCACAGTCAGTGTCTCAAAAAGTACAAGGCAAGAACGTCAGTAGCACCGGGATAGTTATATAACGGTACCGGTATACTGTATTGCCAATTCCATAAACAGGACTGAGCATGCGAGGCTACACTGATCTTGTACTTGTAGCCTGAAAATACCATCGATGCATCGTGCCTTTGAAGAAGCTCATTATTTTCTACCAGCAGTATCCAGTGGTATCTGACCTGAAAATTATAATAATGCAGTCGTGTGTAAACTGGTACATGTTGCACGTGGCGTAATCATTGGGAAACCCCCCAAGTTTGGAACAGGAGCTTTTGAGCATGGCTGTGCACGCGCAGATCTTTCCATAGGACCATACTTCAGCCTGTGCCAGCCCGACTAGACTCGATCGAGCTCACTTTGATCGCAAGGAGAAATCCATGAAATCTACACTGGTCTTTAGAAATAATTCACTTGTACTCAACTATTACTAATGTCTTGTAGTTGTACGATCATACTCTTACTTCTTAGATCTTCAGTTTTGTAGTTCTGAATGAGACGTTTCTAGTTTGTATGTCGAGAAATGTGATCAGGAGCGAGCTGCTGGAGAAAAGTTAATCAATGCTATGTCGGCCGAAGGCCGTATGTATTACGAGACGTCAACTCTAAAACATAGCTGGGATGATGTCGTTCATGTCTTCTGGAATCGTTACCCAAATCCGTTTGCCAAGCATGTTCTGAGTGAGGACACGTTGCAGAGAAAGGTGGTCAATAAGAAACTCTTCTCGACTCGTCTTCTGGTAAAATCAGGCGTTCTACCGAAATGGGGAGAGTTTATGTTCAAGGACAAGTCTACTAAATCAATCATTGTGGAGAACTCAATAGTGGATCCAGAGAAAAAAACGATCACGACCTACACTCGTAATGTATCTCTCACATCTTTCTCTGTATTCGAGGAGAAGTGCACTTACAGGCCATCAACAGATGATAAGAACTGGACAGTGTGTGAGAGAAGTGCAAGTGTCACGTCATCAGTACGTATCCTAGGACCTCGCATTGCCCAATTCCTCGTGTCCAGATATTCACACGGCGTTCAGAGATCAGACCGAGGCTGGGATTATGTCCTGAACAAGTTTCAGAACAGATCACCAAACAGTGTAATGGCAGCATTAGCACGGACCGGTGTACATAAACAAGCGAAACTGGTGAGACCGTAATGCAGTCCGCTCACTGCAGATTACGAGTGTGACATTTTATTTAGGGAGTTGTGGTTATTATTTATATAGCTCCCTGCTCCTAGAGCTGTACCACAGCCAACGTGGCAAGTTCATATTGGCTGCGTTCCTCCCAGGTCCACAGAATTTCCTTTTTGACTTGAGCTCTGCCAACTGTGTGCAGAATTGTTGTAGCTATTTTTTTAAATACCGAGGTTCAATACCGCCATAATTAGTGAACATACTCTTCCAGTTTACCACTTGGCTGCCATATTCTATGGACTACAGTCGTTATTAATTACGTGAAGAATTCCTTGACGCCAGCCATGCTATTTTAGTATTTTTCCAATCCTTAAAAGTTAAAACCATGGGTCTCATATGAGTTGACAGTGTCTACATTGTAGTCTTTCCAAACTTGCCACTGGTCTGGCAAATCTTCTTCCAGGACTTGGAATTTTGAGATTGTTGAGATTGCATGGCCAATGATTACTATACAGTCATGCTACTAGCATGTCCTGTTACTCTTGCTGACTTCTTAGAACACGTGACATAATGTTATCATGGCTGTGAAGACTGATGTAAAAAAAGTTCCGCCGTGGGGCTGAGAGATCATTGAGTTGCAAACGTTTGGCCGGACATTATTGACCGTCAACGCATCCTAACAAACACACAACACACATGACTGTGTGCTGACCATTGCATCAGGCTTTTCTTGAGGACATCAACATCTAAATAATTATTTGATTTCCTTTACCCACCATGAAGTACACAAACATCTTTCAATTCGTGTGACTGAGGGAACATTTGCAGACAGCACCTAGCAGAGGAAAAGAAAAGTAGCATAATGAGTTAAGGGCATCAAGAGGTATGCCAGAAGAGAAGTACATGGATAATAATTTATGCTAGATAAGCAGTTGGAATGAGAAAAAAGATTTTGACAGCACTGGTACTGTGGTAGAAGGTGTAAAAGAAAGCAGTATCTGTGCAGGCCAGCTCTGGTGCTGCTTGCTACACTAAACCAAGTCACGAGATGCAATAAGTTCTTTATCTGGGCTTTTCATGCACTACAAATGGAGATTCAACATAGCAGGAGTAATTACTAAAAGCCTAAAACAAGGAAGATAGACCAAAAGGCCAGAGCTCAAAAGATGTCCATCTCAACTTCTTTGAGCAGCGTCACCCCGGACAGGCACGCACATGTCAATGCAGCAAGCTAAAGACATGCATGAACTGATAAATTCAAATAATAATGGCAGACTTGAACACTCAAGTCAGTACCATAGTGTAGTAGACGATAGAACAGTACAGCACGAGTCCATCAAAAAATCCAGTGCATGGCTGTGGAGCTGTCTGCGCATGAGCCAGTCTGCTTTATGCTCGTGTCTAAACAGCATTCGCAACTATGCTGGCTACAAGAAGAAGATACACGCTTACAAACTTTGAAGGCCAGGCAACGGCCAGATGTTCAACGTGTTCCTAGTAGGCCAAGTGACAGTAGTAGCTGCCTTCACTCTTCTCTTCTCCATCCGGGATCTTCACGTTGATCAAGTTCAATGCCTTCTTCAGCGGCAGCAGCGGCAATAGCAGCACTAGCAGCACCGGAGTTCAGCGATAGATTCTCCATCTTCTCACGGAGCACAGCCTCCTGGTCTGGTGAATATTTGCAGCCGGTATAACCACCGTTGTCAATGACAAAGTTCAAGAACCTGCGCCATCATACAGCAAAACGAAGACATAGACATTAGCTTTCGGTGTGCATGTTTGAAGACTACACTCACACAACTCCTATGTATTATGATTTATCAGAAGCATGCCAAGCAGTGTGAAAGCTCTGCGGTCTGACGACAGGTTGGGCTCTTGTACTACGTGCAGTGCTGCCAAATAATTTTCGCCCAAAATCTGACACCCTTTACCGCCAAAGCTGGCCACATGGTGCGAATTTTTCTTCTCAGCAAATTTGTTCCAGAGAACTCAAAATATCGCACAAAATACCAAGAAAATTCGCTTCATTGCCATGGTAATCGATATGGTGCCTCGAAGTTGTCATGAATTTTGTAATGCATGAGTGTGGTCACACACTGTACTGTACAGTGTACATGCTATCCAGGTATGTTACTGTAATGTCACAAATTGTCGGTGTACTTTTATTTTTGGTACTTTCGGTGCATCTGTTTCATACCTAAAATAATTTCAATAAACCGAACAAACACTACAGTACATTCAGAAAAAGATGGACTTCTAGCTTTTGGCCATAAATGGGTCAAACGTTGAGTTTTTTTAGAATTTTTTCTGCAATCCCCTATGGAATCCTCTTCCAATTATGTTTCTGAAGTCTATTTCTCCAAAAAGCAAGCCATAGCAAGAATAGGATTTCGGCCAGGTTTTGCCCCAAGAGCCCTGAATTGGGAAAACCCATCAAAATCCAGGCCGTTTGACCCTGCCTGCAACAGTGCATTGTACAGTTTGAACCCCAGTTCAGGTACCCTTTTTGGACCCTTTTCAAATTTCAAAATAATTTCAAAGCACTGCACGATAAAATCTTGAAAAATCGCCCAATACGGGAGCTCGCCAGAGCCAGGGCCCATCTTTTTCTGAATGGACTGTAACACACATAAGTTATAACCCAATAGGAAACTGCTTCTCTGCACCGAAAATTTCTGTTCACCTAACCTGGCCTTTTGCCCTCATACCGAACATATCAAGCACCTAAAATTTTCTGAAATTAGACGGTACTTTGCACTTCCCCAGCCCGGCGCCCATGGCTTTTTGGCACATGTACAGTGATTTGTGCCTTCAGTTGCACTTAAAAAAGTGAAAACACAGGACTTCTGCATAGGAAAGTACGATCCCTGACAGTTTTGGCTGCTTTTCGGACGTATCCTTTTTCGGACCGGTTTTCAGAAGAGACTTCAAAAATCGGACACTGTTAAAAAAATCTGACGGTTTGGCAGCACTGTATGTGTACTAAAGAAAGTAAAGATGTCAATGATCATCCACGGGTCATCATTAATGGGTGAAACTGTGAACGTCCTGGTCAATGTTTCGATAAGATTAAAATGGAACTGTGCTCAGGTGCATTGTTAGTACACACGGATGCTCACAAACTGGTACAACTTCTTACATTTTCCAGTGATCATCCTTGTTGAGAATGTATGGGTTGCCAATGACAATAAGCAGAGCCATGGCACGAGTGATGGCTACGTTGAAACGCTGCAAGATCAGAAATATACCGGGGCACATGCACACAAGATTCATGTAAGCATAGGCAGCACCAAAGCAGTGGCACAGAGGTCTCACATACTGAAAAGCCAGAAGATTTCGACCGGGAGTTTCGGTGTTGGTAATTTCGATATGAACAAATAATATTACACTCATATCTCCCTTATCCGGGCAGTCTGGGACCGGGCACTAGTACCCACAACTTGGAAATGTCCGTAACCATGGCAACTCTGAACCACGTACATTTTTGAGAGGGAATGGCCAGAGATCTGGGATATGACGTCATTATTTCAACAGAGGGAAAGATGCAAACGGGAAAGGTCTGAAGAAAAAATTGCCTGTCACCACCAGGACTTCAAACGGGGAGCCTCGCTTATGGCCAGCGATGTACGGGTACTGTTGTGGACATGGAAATCCGGTCGCACGTCTAGCGGCCCCAGGCCGCTGGCCATGTAGCCGTGGGTAGGCGGTACACACATGCATTTATGCGCTGCAGCGTCCTGGTGCATCAGATCAACATGTGCACTGCACGCAGCGTTCTGTACGCGCTGAGGGTGCCGACCCCGGTCAATCGACTGGATTTCCATGTCCGCTACAGTAAGTAATATTTTCACTAAAGGCCGCACCAAATCATTTCTCTGTTTCGTGTCACCGCGCGCGTACCTTTTCGAGTCGTTGACAAGAAAAAAACACCCAGACGAGTCAATCGATGGCTGTTCTGCATCTGGCGAGAATTCTCTAGCCAGTACGGCAGATCAGAAGGTATCAGCTTCTCGATAATCTTGCATTCCAGGTGATGGTACGAAGAAGGTGCGAGCAATGAAAAATTCTATATTTCCAAGCCGTGCGGTACGCGGTAGGGCCTGCTCACCAAGCGAGCAGAGATTCCAGGTGTCAAGGACTCCGGGATTTTCCACGATCGTGATGGAGCGGAATTCCTCTCGCCTCATGTAAAAGTGCAGAATGACCCATCCATGAAATCGGTTACTGTATCGCTCCAGCCCAGCCTGCCGGCTGTCCTGTAGCGACTTGTTGTCGTTTCGGATATAAGTGACAGTTTAGAAGTGCTATTCTGTGTGCAACATGGCTCAGTACACATAGAACAGAGTTTGTTTTTTCCTCTGTTTTTTGTATTTTTCCGTCCGCCCGCGTGCCTTTTCCAGAAAATATCCAACGTGAAACATAGAATTAAATTGGTGTGGTCTATTCTAAAAACTCATCCACAGGGTGCTACCAGTATAGGTATAGTACTGTACAGTCTGTACTAGTACTTGAAGGTGAACATGCCAAACTGACTGATACCGAATAGAACGCTACAGAAACCCCGATTTTGGGATACATGTATAATACTAAACCAGCACATTTCTGGCTTATAGTAGCGAAAATGGGGGAGGGGGTGGAAAGCATGTGATCATCAAACAACCAAAGGACAAGCATTGCAAACAAAATCCGTTGAGCCTCCATACTGAGGCTCTTCACTCTGCTTGTGGAAGCAAACAACAGAAGAGACAAGAGACGCAGTGCGTTACCTTCTGGTTCTGCAGGAAGCCCAGGCTGAATGTCTTGTCCATGGTAAGATACTTGGGTTGACTGCGCACAGTAGAGATGATGATGACTGTTCTCTCTTGGCCTTGGAACTCCTCCACTGACCCAACTTTCACTGACTCATGGCCCTTGGCACGCAGCTGCTTGCGGATACGAAGAACCTACGTACATGTATCACATACAAACACAACATACACAATTGCACATACAAACACAACATACACAATTGCACATACAAACACAACATACACAATTACACATACAAACACAACATACACAATTGCACATACAAACACAACATACACAATTGCACATACAAACACAACATACACAATTGCACATACAAACACAACATACACAATTACACATACAAACACAACATACACAATTGCACATACAAACACAACATACACAATTGCACATACAAACACAACATACACAATTGCACATACCACTTGCAACATGATGGTAGACATGAACTAGGAATTTACATCATGAACATACATGTAACATAATTATTGTAGTGGTACTACATTGCAGAGTGTGCATGTGCAGCCTACAAGCATATACATGTACAGGTAGAGACCAAAAGCATACAACGCACTCCAAACATACACTGGTTCATTATTCCCGTAGCTATGCAGAAGACGTTACTTCAGTAACGTCTGGCGCTAGCCAGGGTCCACACAGCTTTAATTTGGTGTTTGTTTATTTGTTTGTGTCACGCCTGGGGCTATCCCGTAGCTGTCCCGTCCCGTACCGTACCGTACCAGCAAAGACAGCTGGCCACAATATTTTTGTTTGTTTGTGCCATCGACATGCCTGGCGCTATCCCGTACCTATCCCGTACCATCAAGAGAATGAGTATATATGCGAAGTGTATCGGGGGAATGCATTCAGTGCAGTAACATTTTGTGTGGATTTGTGTGCGAGGCCGAGATAGCAGGCTGGCTGGGCCGCCTGTCGACGAGCCCGGGAATCGCATGTAGGCCGATAGCATAATAATTATAACTTATAATTATACAGTCATGTAGATGCATAACAGGGAGTCATATTATGTAAACGACTCCCTGCTGTATGGGGAGGTTTTCTGGAAAGAAATACGAAGTAGGGAGACGAGTAAATGCAATCAGAATGGATGTTAGTTGCCGTCAGTATAATAATAATAAGAAGAAGAACGCCCGTGATCGGCAGAGTCAGCGCCGGTCCCAGGAAACGTCAGGACAGACATCCCGTCGACTCCAGAACGCCCGTGATCGGAAGAGTCAGCGCCGGTCCCATAGCTATGCAGAAGACGTTACTTCAGTAACTCATTGAATTTTTTTTGCAATACAATGATGTAGCTAATTAAAGGAAAAAGCATTTCCATCAGTTCTAACAACATGCACGATGAGCTAGGCAACAAAGCATAGCGCAGGGCCCTGAGCTTCCAAGCTCTCTCATTTCTCACACCACACCCAGCAGCTGTGAATGCCTCAGAAGCCTCTTGTACAGGCATGCATACCACAATGAAATCGTGTGAGCACAGCATTTAAAATGTCCTACGGAGATGGAAGGTGCAACTGCAAGCAAGTTATTGTTGACTAATGTCTTAGTGGATTGCTGGGCTACTGGTTGAAAAGAATATACATGTACAGCTCATTAGCACTGTCCAGCCTCTAATATACATGTACGGTCTTGTCTATTCTCTCTCAACTAGATAAACTCACGTCTGTCTTGCACTAGTCCTCAACAAAACTACATTCAAGCAATAAGCTATCAGAGAAATACGAAAGCTACATACCAAATTTCCCCGTTGAAGTTCCCTGGTTGAAAAAATTCCCAACTACGTTACTAGCACCACGGTGCGTATGATCTACTGACCTGCTTGTGGTACGGTGAGATGACACCAATCTGTGAAGCAGAGATCTGTGGTCTTCTCGAGCGGCGCAATTGCTCAACATAGAACAGAACCCGCGAAACTTCAGTGAGGTTGAAGAAAGATGGGCTGTCTCCTTCTCGTTCATCGATACCCTCGACGCCATTGAAGATGATAGGAAAGCGAGACTTCTACATGTCACAAGAACACACATGTACACGTACACAATCATAGCAGTTAAGTGCTAACAGGGGTACACGGCTGTTTTAGACAACGATTTTTGGCCATCTAACATGGCGGCGGGTACCGGCTGATTTTGCAAAAAATCAAAGATTAATCATTTTTTACAGAGTTGGTGGACAAGCTGTTGATTACCCACTCTCATTGTAATATCAAAAAGTATTCTTTCTAGACCAAAGAGTGGTATATTTGATAAATAAAGATAGAAATATTCACGATACTTCTCCAGACGTTTCGTTGTTCTGAACAACATCGTCGTTTATCCACTGACGTTGTTGTTCAGAACAACGAAACGTCTGGAGAAGTATCGTGAATATTTCTATCTTTATTTATCAAATATACCACTCTTTGGTCTAGAAAGAATACTTTTTGATAATCATTTTTACGTTGAGATTAAGGTGAGTTGCTATCATTCTTCAGCGATTTACTGCCGCTAGCCCCACATTTTTGATACTTAATTTCCGGGGGTGGAAAGCTGACGTGTCAAGCAACATTTTGGTACCAAACACTCCTTGATCTGACGAAGGAGAAGGAAGTTGCTTTCTGTTTTGGTGCAGTGGAATTATAGACTGAAATTGCTGTCATCATATTTTTTAGCTACCTTCATCACGCTCGTAGTAAGCCTTCTGGAGTTATTCAGTCACCACTCGAGGTTTTCCTCGCATCCTCGGGTAGTTGTCTTTTATATTTTCGCACGTTCTTTTGAATACGATGGTGAACTCAAAAATACGATGGGCCTTTACTTTTCTCTGTTTCCAGTGGGAGATATACACATCTGCGACGCATCGCACGAAATGAAGGACCATGCAGCACATTTGCAGCATCTATGCCGTGTTGGAGGCGCAAAATTTACTGCGTGCTCCCAACAGACAAGATATCCAGTGTCTGACTACAGTGAAACAATCAAAAAAACGAATTCAGTATTGATGTTTGTAATGACGACCCTACTATTCACCCAACATAATATCTGTGCTCTTTGCCAAAGAGTCTTGAAGAGATCAGAGAGCACAGAAAAGTTCAATCCCAGTGGTGGTGGTTGTGGACAAGGGGTAACATGTAGTTGGAAGAGTCATGAACCTGTAAAGTGCAGAGTCTGCACCAAGTTTGAACAAAAATCGAAGAGTGGTCGACCAAGCAAACGGATAAAAACAGCAAGCGGAGCAGCAAAAATGACATCAAGCAGTAGCAGTGCATGTGCATCTAGCAATGGCATGGACATACCTGAAAGTGAGGTGCATGACATATCTGCAAGTGATTATCAAGCAGAGTGCGAGTTGACTATGTCAAGATTTGCTGACAGCAGTGCAGCAGCCACAGTACAATGCATGATCTGCCGCAGCATGCCGAGCAATGGTGCTCAGTCACCATGCTGTTATAACCTAAAGCATTTTGTACGAAATGCATTTGCCAGGCGTTGACCAATGGTGCACAGTGTCCAGCCTGCCAACATACACTGCGCGCTTCAGAACTGGCAAAGCCAAGCGACCTGTTCTGTCAAAGGCTTGGGAACTGGTCCGTCCACTGTGACTTCCATGAACCAGCTCTTCGTGGATGCCCAGCAGTTGTTACCCTAGAAAACCTGAAAGTTCATGTGTCAAAGTGTACATTTAATCCTGCCAATGAATCTACCCCAATACGAGCTATCAGCAAATCCACAGTCGTTGCTGACATCCTCACTGCTTCCCCCAGCAAATTGAAAGGCTCTGTGGCCGATAATTTAACTGGCCGCCTTGTGACAGCCAAAGTTCAAGATGCCGGTACACTGCAAGTGAAAGCAGGCAGCCAGGGCAGCCAGGGCCGGCCACAGCCAGGGCAGGCCACAGCCAGGGCAGGCCACAGCCAGGGCAGCCAGGGCCGGCCACAGCCAGGGCAGGCCACAGCCAGGGTCGGCCACAGCCAGGGCCGGCCCTGGCTGTGGCCGGCCACAGCCAGGGCCGGCCACAGCCAGGGCCGGCCACAGCCAGGGCCGGCCACAGCCAGGGCCGGCCACAGCCAGGGCCGGCCACAGCCAGGGTCGGCCACAGCCAGGGCCGGCCCTGGCTGTGGCCGGCCACAGCCAGGGCCGCACGGCTGTTTCGCGGCCACCACTTAACAATATGGCGGCCTTCGCCCAGGTTTACGGTGAAATTCAAAAATATTCTGAAAACTGAAAAAGATTTCAAGATCCTGTGGGATTCACGCGAAAACTGTGCTTTGTCAAGGTAACAAACACCGCGATCGGGACAAGGATTCAAACTTTCGAAGTCGCACAACAAAAATTGTTCAGCTTCGACAACAACAAACAAGGAAAGAAAAGGAAGGAGAAGGTAGACAGCAGGTTTTTGCTGGACGACGTCTCTTCCTGTTGTCACTACAGAGCTCAACTAGGAGTCAGCAGTACCGTTGTTATTTTTCTTACCTGGATCAGGGCTGAAATGGCCAAGCTGCTGCGTCCAGGGCCTGAGGATCACTGCTCGAGCTCGGACGCCTTGCGTTTTCTTGATGCCGTGGCGGGACGAACAGCGTCATGTTGTGGCAATGTCCCGACGAGATGTTGCTGGCACATTGCTGTGAGGCGCTGCAGAGTCCCAGGAATAGCGTTATAATCGAAGCTCAGCCTGTTGAATCTGGCATGAATTGACTCGCTGCCCTGCTCGGCGAGTCGACCCTGACCGACTCCAAATTTCCTGGTGAACGGGACTGTGCGTTCCTCCAAGAGATGTAGTTTCGGAGTTATGTTGCCGAGCTGTCGGGTGATAATGGATTCTCTGCATTTCTGAAGAAACAGCTGGATGCAGTCAGCCAGCTTTGAGATGTCGGCCTCTGACATGCTGTTGCAATGGCTGAAACGGTGGCTGCAGTCGGCATATCCCGAAAACAATCCATGGTACCGCTGCTGCAAGATTTCTGCATCAGCAACGAGCTGCTGGCAACGAGCGGAAACCACCTCAACTGGAGCAGACATCAGTGCTCTTAGTACGGCAGGCTGCAGTGTGCGATGTACGTGGTTGCCCACGAAGGCACCGCCATGGAAGGCTTGCCGATCAACATTGTGTGTTTGGAGCACAGACTCGAGACTTGACGCGCATGGTCCTGTGACTTTCTTGTTCTTTCTCATCTCGTCTAAGTCATGTACGAGTTTGCTGTGCTCAGCACTTGCAGCAGTGAAGGCGTCGCTGGCGTCTTTCCACAGTTGCTGTATTGCTGCAGCTACAGTGTCCATGTTGACGTTGGGAAAGCTGGTCGGTGCGTGTTGCTGCAAGAGCACTGCATATTGGAGCTGCTGCTGTAGTTCATCGCTCTTCGCCTGGGCATCTTCCATAGCTTGCCTGGCGGACCGAACTTTGTCGCTGAGAACTGTTAGCTCTTGAAACTGGAGCTGATCATCTGCACACGGCTAGAGAGTTGCTGCTGCCAGTTTCACATCCAGTTGTTTGACTTCAGCTAGGTAGATGTCATACAGCCATGCGAAAATGCCGAGATCCAGATGAAAAGACGGAATAACAACGTTGCTGACGGGAATTGGCAAGATAACTGGGCGGATGGCATTGTTGTGGTGCTTGGCTTGCGAAAGATTTGCTCCAGAGGCGGTCACCGCCAAGTTTTAGCTGAATCTCGGACTCCGGAATGACATTTCCGTGCCAGGTCAGCCACCCATATGTGTTGTACAAGTCCAGATCATCAGATCATCACGATGTCAATGTGATTTGGCATGTACGCCATGCATGCCATCACTTTGCTGCCGTCTTTCTTATTCATTGGCATTTCCCTTGCTGTGTATTGTGGAACCTGCTGCGCAATGAACGAACCTAATCTTGTCCAGTTTCTTCTGTGCGCTGTATGTCGGTGTTGCGTGCGTGAAAACATTTGCTTCATCTACATCCATTTCACTAGTACTGTGTGCTGTCTGGGGTCCAGGAGAGTGTGATAGGGGTATTGCTGTTGTGGATGAATGTTGTGGGACTGTTGTGTGATCCATTTCTTTTCTTTTTTTTTGTACAGCGAAAGCTTTGAAGCAAGTTGCTTCTGCTTTTTTGGTGGACGTCCACCCTTGTTTGGTGCAGTGTGGCATATGTCGCAGTATGTGCGGTGATGTGGCTTCCACACTTTGATCGCTCCACATCCATCCCCTACAAATGAGTCAAGGCAACCTTCTCTCAGACAACGATCCAGCACACGTTTGCATACATGACAAATGTGTGTAGGGTGGATCGCATGCGCGCAGGGTCATCCTGAGAAATGTCGACCTCGTACACATCTTGAATGATCTGGCATAGTCCTTCACGTTGTATTTCGTGGACACAGCCATGTTGGCAAACTTTTTGCTACCAATACTGCAGCAGGTAGACAGCAATGCACTGTGTTCATCCATTTTACACACTACTACTAGCACGCGATACGGTAGAATCGATGGCCACGGAAATCGATCTAGTAGCACGGAAAGACAAACAAATTCAAAAAATCGGTAAATGAAGTCACCCAGGCACCAGGAAAACTGGCAAAGAAGACGAGAAAACTTTTACAAGAGAAGAAGGTAGCTGTGAAAAGGGCTGATAGAAGTGACGAAGGGCAAGTCGTCAAGGCAAAGGAAACGCACCTCTGAAGGAATCGTTCCTGGAAGAAGACGGCCAAGACGGGTATCAGATGAAAGAGGATCGCGAGAGGAAGTCATGAAGCGTGTTTGTACTATGAAACCCGGTCGATTGGAAGGGGAAAGTGGAAGTTTCCTCAAGAGAAAAAGAGTATTTTCAAGCAAATCAATGACAGATCGATGATGAGATTTTCAAATTTTCAAATTTTTGGACGCCATATTTTTTGGCCGAGTTCATGACCATCGTGACAGCCGTGGCCGGCCACAGCCAGGGCCGGCCACAGCCAGGGCCGGCCACAGGCGTTCACTCTCTCGATGCCAGTGCAAGGACTGTGCGGCGCAGATCTCTTGTGCTGGAGCAAGTCGAGATGACAGCGTCAAGTGGCCAGGAGGGTGCTCGGGTACAGGAAGTGGCTCGCTTAAAGCGTCTCAGCAGTGCAGAAGAAGAGGAGCTGCTGAAAGAGGCTGGCTTGAAACCAACAGCCCCAGGCGAGGGCTCACCGCTAGCACTGAAAGCCGATCTTCAGCTCCCGTGGAGCAGAGTCCGAAAGCTGAAGCTTTGGCTGCGTGGCTTTGGGCTGCAGATGGAATCTGAGCGCAACGCCAGAGCATATATTGCCAGCCAAGTACCACAATACATGCACAAGAGCATACCCATGGCATCACAAAGTGGCACCATGGAGATGGTACCCATCGTGTACTTCCCAAGCCTCATCGACATCATCATGGTGTACCTTGATTGGTACGATAAGCATCGACAGGTTACCGGTACCAACAAATGCATCCCCGAGAATGAGGTGTGGATCAAACTCGGTGGTGATCACGGCGGAGGATCTTTCAAGTTCGTCCTGCAGATCGCGAATGTGCAGCGGCCAAATTCACTACGCAGCACTATCCCGATTTGCATCTTTGAGGCACAGGGCACACCATCGAACCTTGAAACCACGCTAGGGGTCTGTCGTGACGAGGTCAGAGATCTGCAAACAACAGCAACATGGAAGAACAAGTCGTTCAAGTTATTTTCCTTCGGCGACTATGAATATCAAACGAAAGCATATGGTTTGTCAGGGTCCAGTGGCACCCGACCATGCTTACACTGTCTCTGTCAGAAGAAGAATATGGACATTCCACCAGCCCTAAACCCAGATGACGATTCTACCAGCAGAACACTAGAAACTCTGTACAACGATTTCACTGGATTCACGAACAGTGGCTCAAATCTAAAGAATGCAAAGAACTACAACAACAGCATACGTCCAGTGATCTTACTTATTCCCGTGGAGAATGTTGTAATCCCGGCTCTTTATCTGGATCTGGGTATTTTCCCATGGATGCTGATTGCTTTTCAGGCTGAGCTCACTCGACATCGAGCTTTCCAGTAGAACAGCTGCTGCAGACACCGCCGTTCCTGCCGCCGTTGCTACTACAGTAGACACCGCCGCTGCTGCTGCCACTGTCGTCCCTGCAGCCGTTCCTGCTGCCACAGCCGTCCCTCCAGCCGTTCCTGCTGCCACTGTCATCCCTGCAGCCGTTGCTGCTACAGCAGTAGCTGGTGATGTGGCAGCTTTGAAAAGCTTTCGTCACCGCATTCGGAAGCCAGCAAAACGGATGAGGAGATTTCTGCAGTTACCAAACAACTACATTTAGCGCAGCAGCAACTCCAGTACATTGTTCTTTTTTCTCAGCTTGACATACCTGCTGCCACAGTGGAGAGCGTGACACAACACCTACAAGACCAGTGGAAGAATGGTGATGCACGCCGTACTGCATTGCTTGCACGGAGACAGTCACTCACCGACCAAATGGCCGCAATAGAACAAAAGGTTTGAGGGGCCATGTTTAGCAAGCATCGGGCCAGTTCTCCAGCGCAATGGAATCGATAGGCAAGATTAACCATGGAGGTGCTTTAGTGGGCAACCATGTGCACATAGCTCTTCAGCCAGCAGTAAAAACTGAAATAACCTCAGCACATTTATCTGCAGTAGCTTCTCGTGCGCCAGTGCTGCTCCCAGAGGCAAATCGAATTCATGAGGATTGCCAGCGCCTGATGTCCCTGTATGGCGAGTGCACTGCCCTCTTCAGCCACTGCAGGCCTATGGACGAGGCCACCATATCCAAGCTAGAAGGCTTGGTGGGGACATTGATGGCTGCATGCCGAGATATCGTCGTCAGCAAGCAGCTCGGCCACATCATGCCGAAATTGCACATGTTGGAGGTGCATGTTGTGCCGTCCATCCGGCGGCGAGGCGTTGGTCTTGGTCTCCTCGCAGAGCAAGGGAGTGAGAGCATTCACGCCCGCTTCAACGAGCTGAGGAGACACCACGAGGCCATCCGCAATCCCTTAGAGCGCCTTAAGTCTGTTGCACAGATGCATTTGATTGCAACTCTCCCACAACACGAGTCGCTCCGTCCAGTCAGCAGGAAGTAAAGCAAGTGTTCCTCTGCATCTTGTTTGCTGGCCTATCTGAAATTCTCGGCCTTCCAGCTCGTTTGAGCTCTTTCTCTCCTTTCAAATAATTTTTTCCTTTGTTCTCAAGCTCTTTCCGGTAATTCCTCACCATAATATTTTCGAGGCGATCGAGGACGCGTCTGACGCGCGTGTCAGCAAGTACAAAAATTCGGTTCGTCATGGTTTTTGATGTGAAAATGTAATACTTCCCTTCGCATTATAAAATACCGTTGGGACTTGTCAAAAACGGCGCAAAAGCCGCCATATTGTAATTTGTTAGATGGCCAAGTGGGAACAGCCGTGGGGTACTACTGATACACTCTGGGAAATACACCTACACAAAGTATGTTGAAAATGACAAGTAAGACATGAACTATTACTGTACTAAGTTTCTGCTGGTACTAGTATCTAGTATCTAGTATCTACGCTAGTCTTCTTCAGTTGTCAAAAGCAGAAACATGCACGCCCACAAACACCATCAACCCGACCCCGTTCCACCCACCCACCCACTCATACACATGGATACGAGAAAAACTAACCTTTGCATCAGCTGGCAAGTGCTCCCAGTCACACAGCATCTCTCGACCGAATTTGTCAGCAAATACTTGCAGCTCATTGTCATAGAAACACTCGTTGGGCACTTCAATGATAGCGGGATGAGACCGATAGTTTCGGAGCAATTTTGTTACTGCCCGTGGTTCTAGCCTGAAGAGAGCAGTAAGAAAGAACAACTTGTGCTGGCCGAATATGTGTGTGCGTGCGTGTGTGCACACATGGGTGCATAATTATGTACCCGTACTTGATGCTTGATCCTAAAGTTCAACCGTACCTGTCCTTATCAAGTCGAGCTGAAATTCCTGGGTCACATTGTACATGTGCATATCCATATCAACCAGACACAAAGGGGATTTTCCCTTCGGCAGCTTCCAAGAGCAAGGAGACAAACATGCTACTGCTGGCATCTAAGTTCTTCATATGTACTAGAATGCTGCCCATGAACACTACTACTGTGTATGCGGCTGTGTATGCGGCTGGCCATAGTCACATAGGCTTACCATGTGGCTATGCAACATGAGTTACATGACCACAACAGTTGAACCTGCAGCACTACGACCCAACGCGAGTCGGATCAGAACTGCATTGGACAGATGTTATTACTACAGGCGATATACTTCGTACTAATCTGGCATGTTTCGCTACACAAAGCCAATTCTTAGGACCGATATATTCTACTGTACGATAAAATTGCTTGTAAGAATAAATGTGCACTTGAAACCCATGTTATGACTATGAAAACATGAGAGTTCATTCTTGTAGGCAGTACATGTATGTTCTTTTACACGACCACACTATAACCGATACGCACTGTATTCACTAGTTGAGGGTGTTGCAAAGGAAAAAGTCTCACGAAAATACAATACATGTAGTACATGTGCATCCAAAGTCGAGGTACCTACATCGCTTTTCCATCCACAATGTGTCGTTGATAGAGGTCGCATTCCTTCATGAGGCGTTCCAGAAGCGAGGTGGTCAAACCATGCTTAGCGGCATGCGATGATCGCACAATGGGTCCCAGCTGATACGGGTCACCAGTTAGAACGACTTGCGTCGTGCCAGGCTCTACAAGCGATGACAGTGGCACGATACACTCAGCTTCAACAGCATGGCCGCACTCATCAATGAACACGTGCGTGAAGTGATCACGCGGCATGCCGGCTGACACTAATCTAAACGGTAAACAGAAAAACAAACATGCAGAACAAACATGCAGAACAAACATGCACATACAGTTTTAAAATGTCTGGTCATCTATGTACATGTATACATGACTTCAACTTTGTACGCAAAGACAACACGCTAACAATATTCTCAAACCCGGTCGAATGTTGGCACTGACAAGCCTAGCCATGAAACCTGCACACCAGCTGGTAATAGACCGCGTGCACAATGTCATTGGGATGTCATCTGGACACATTTTCTGGACAAAATGGGTGCTTTCAAGAAACTTTCGCAGGTCTTGTTGATGCTTTGCAGTTCTACCCACTCGTCCTATACACATTGTACACACCTTGCACACATTTTGTTCACACATTGCACACACTTTGTTCACATTTCACACACGCTTTACCATCGAACAGCTGGCCTATAGGAAGCAAGGCAGTCCACGTTGGTCGTCATCGTATGATCACTGCCATTGCCAAGAGCTCATGCAATGACTATGATGCTGCTCACCTGCCTGACGTAGCCAGCGTGCACACAACAATGCTGAATGTGCGTATCCTTGCAAGGTTCGGGAAGTAGAACAGATCACCATCGCAATAGGACACATTCTAAAACAACAAATTTGGGGCACGCACACACACATACGTACGCATGCGCACACACGTGCACACACACGGACACACACACACACACACACACACACACACACACACGCATATCTTACAAATGCAGGCGAACAACCAATCTCCATAAAATTGGCGTTTTCACCTTTCAACTGCATCACATGTAGAGCACCGCGCCCCGCAAAATAATACATCCATAGTAGAACATGATAAAGCTGTTTGTTCAGTATATCACTGAATAGGGCTTGAAAGTGAGGACGTCAGAAGTCAACAAATAACGACATATAATGACTTCTGAATCAACTTGGATCCAGTCTGCCTATAGCAATGTACAGTATGTGAGAGGTGGACCCCTCGACCCTCGTGTCCCATGCAGGTGTGAATTTGTCCTGTATCAGGAGTGGGTCACCAAAAGTCAGCATTGTCAGGACTCTCGGCTGGCTGTGACCAAGCACTTTCAAGTACTAGTATACTGCTCTATTCAATTGCAATGATTGGGTGTTATCCAGTATCCACGCACATCGAATACAACTTATCCAGTATCCACGTACATCGAATACTACTTGCTGTAAACCTGGCAACCCTTGCGCCCGTTTTAGTTCGCGATTTGCGAGCACAGACAAAATTTGCACCTGGAGATGTTCGCGATTGAAGTCATTTTCCGCGGTATATTATCTACAGTTCTACGTTTCGCGCCGGCTTACTTTTGCAACGGTTTATAGGGTTTACAGTACAGTGTAGCAAACAGTACTTACACTACAGCACATACTACACTGTATGCACAACACAGCACATACTACACTGTATGCACAACACAGCACATACTACACTGTATGCACAACACAGCACATACTACACTGTATGCACAACACAGCACATACTACACTGTATGCACAACACAGCACATACTACACTGTATGCACAACACAGCACATACTACACTGTATGCACAACACAGCACATACTACACTGTATGCACAACACAGCACATACTACACTGTATGCACAACACAGCACATACTACACTGTATGCACAACACAGCACATACTACACTGTATGCACAACACAGCACATACTACACTGTATGCACAACACAGCACATACTACACTGTATGCACAACACAGCACATACTACACTGTATGCACAACACAGCACATACTACACTGTATGCACAACACAGCACATACTACACTGTATGCACAACACAGCACATACTACACTGTATGCACAACACAGCACATACTACACTGTATGCACAACACAGCACATACTACACTGTATGCACAACACAGCACATACTACACTGTATGCACAACACAGCACATACTACACTGTATGCACAACACAGCACATACTACACTGTATGCACAACACAGCACATACTACACTGTATGCACAACACAGCACATACTACACTGTATGCACAACACAGCACATACTACACTGTATGCACAACACAGCACATACTACACTGTATGCACAACACAGCACATACTACACTGTATGCACAACACAGCACATACTACACTGTATGCACAACACAGCACATACTACACTGTATGCACAACACAGCACATACTACACTGTATGCACAACACAGCACATACTACACTGTATGCACAACACAGCACATACTACACTGTATGCACAACACAGCACATACTACACTGTATGCACAACACAGCACATACTACACTGTATGCACAACACAGCACATACTACACTGTATGCACAACACAGCACATACTACACTGTATGCACAACACAGCACATACTACACTGTATGCACACTACAGCACATACTACACTGTATGCACAACACAGCACATACTACACTGTATGCACAACACAGCACAGCAGCTCTAGTACTGGAACATGTACTGACCATGACACCATCAGCAAGGCTGCTCTTCTTGCGAGAGAGGGCATTGAGGCGGATGATGTCTTTGGCATCAATGTGTTTCAGCAAGCGTGTTGTTACCAAATCAGCGGCTGAGTTCGATGGAGTACAGGCCAAGATGCGACACTTCTTGTGGAAAAATCGCACCTGAAATGAGCATGACAGCACAGCAGCACGGCAGCAAAGTAATATCACTGTTGACATGGCAGCAAAGTAATATCACTGTTGACATGGCAGCAAAGTAATATCACTGTTGACCTGGCAGCAAAGTAATATCACTGTTGACCTGGCAGCAAAGTAATATCACTGTTGACATAGCAGCAAAGTAATATCACTGTTGACCTGGCAGCAAAGTAATATCACTGTTGACATGGCAGCAAAGTAACATCACTGTTGACCTGCAATCCTGGTTCACAGATTATACTGATAACAGTGATAAGCCACTAAGGTTGACATTTGGCTTAACAGCTAAAGAAGAATGAAGTGGAAGACACCACTGTAGCTGTGCGTATGGTTGATAAATATGGTGGTAAATACACACACCTGGCAAGATGACGGTAATACACGCCCACACACGCTCTCTAGGCTGCAAAGTTCTGGCACAGGGCCCTCCTTCTCACCACCAACATCAGTTCGCGCCTGGCGCCTAGTCGATGCATGGTTAGCGGTATCCGACATAGCAGGCCGGTATATCAGAGCTCCACTGTAGCAGTAAGCATGCATCTAGATCCTACACTACTATACTACTGTACAACTCAGAGTTATTTACCTGCTTGATAGCCTCCACTAGTGTAGTAGTCTTGCCTGTACCGGGTGGACCAAATATCAGATAGGGAGCCCTGCCCGATGAGCCAGCAACAATCTGTTGCACTGCCTGACACTGCTCTGGGTTGCTTTCGTTGTTGATATGACGGTCGTAAAACCTGCACGACAACAAAAAGTTAGTATTGCATGACACAAGGCAACTGCACTGAAGACCATAGAACACATGGCCTGACACCGGAAAACCACCACCCTGAAAGGATCAAAGGCGCAGATGCAGTTCCTAAAGCGGTGGGAGGTAAGTAGACCAGCCCACCAACAAAGTGGCCAAAGACCGAAAAATCCCGTTCGCTGCATCCATGTTTCCCCCGGGCCCTCATCTGTATATCTTGCCAAAATTTGTATCCAGCTTAGTGAGGTGGTAGAGAGAGAGAGAAAGAGAGAAGAGAGAGAGAGAGAGAGAGAGAGAGAGAGAGAGAGAGAGAGAGAGAGAGAGAGAGAGAGACACAGAGAGAGAGAGATAGAGAGAGAGAGAGGGAGAGAGAGAGAGAGAGAGACAGAGAGAGACACAGAGAGACACAGAGAGAGACAGAGAAATAGCACCTGGTGTGTCAGATTCTATTTCTGAATTCTCACCATTCATTAATAGCAGCATTATTCAAAAGGGTACATGCGGAAATAAAAGGAAGACAATTGCTCCATGCAAAAAAGTAGTTTCGGAAACTCACCGAGATATTACAGGCACGTCACATTGTTCAAGGCAGTCGTTGTCTGGAAATAGGACTCCAGTGTCCAAGGCAGCATGCGACAGGCAAACAGCCCTGTTCTTCAGCCACCATGGGTTAGGATTGATGCAGAACTCAATCTCACAGACTTTGTTCGCTATGAAACTGCGGTGAAAGCTGAAGGCAGATGAATTGGAAAACATCATGGATGCACAATACTCAACCCCGTGATAAGGCACGGACAATCAAAACTCGAGTCTCGAATACATCCTACTTGGTTCAAATAGATCCTACTTGGTTCGAATATATCCTACTTGGTCGAAAACATCCTACTTGGTTCGAATAGATCCTACTTGGAACATAATCGAAAATGCAACACGTGGAGCGACACCGCACACTCCGTACAGAGCATAACATACCAGCTCCCTGCTTCGTGCAATACACACAGAAGAGTTGCTTCATTCTGACGACAAAAATACACGTGAAAACAAGCCAAGCCGGACACCACGCTGAACATCCGGACAAATTTGCCTGGAGTTTTGACCGACTGCCAGTCACCTCAAAAGAGAACGAAGTATACCATCGTAATATCCACCTCAAAAATTACAAAGTAAGGCAAACATGTTGATGACAGTTCCCCTTTAATATGTACATTATTGACACACACACACACACACACACACACACACACACACACACACACACAGACACACACACACACACACACACATACATACATGCACGCGCGCACACACACACTCACTGCCAAAACTGGTCACGTGGGTCTCCCCGGGAGAGGGGGGAGAGAAACTCAAAAGGAATCTTGGAAAGATGACTCAATTGGTTATTGAACCGCCCAACGGCCGACACACCCTGAAATCTCCAAAACTCGGGGGGGGGGACTTGAAAAAATGATCCCACTTATGGGCTCACCACACCTCAGTAAGTGGGTGAGGACAAGGTGCAGAAAAAGGATTGACGGCATCAGGGTATCCGTCCCCGGATCCAACTGCAGTTAACCCTGCCCCCAGTGAAGGTAATACTTGCTACTAGTGTGGGCGGCTAAATCAGAGTGGATCTGATATAAGCTTCACTAGCACCATTGATTACACAAGAGTTAATCTAGCCAGAAGCAGTCCATGGTTAGCAGGTATGTATACTTCAAATAGAATGTATACGAACCCTGGAACCAACAAAGGTGGCAGGTACAACATTACACCTTCAAGCAGCCGAGCCCGTTGGCAACAGATCCAACACAATCAGGCATAAGTGTACCCACCAACCGAACACACACACACACTTGTACTTGTATTTGTGGCTCACTGCCAAAACTGGTCATGTGGGTCTCCCGGGAGAGGGGAGAGAGACTCAAAAGGAATCTTGGAAAGATGACTCAATTGACTATTAAACCGCCCAACGGCCGACATCCCCTGAAATCTCCAAAACTCTGGGTGGACTTGAAAATGATCCCACTTATGGGCTCACCACACCTCAGTAAGTGGGTGAGGACAAGGTGCAGAAAAAGGATTGACGGCATCAGGGTATCCGTCCCCGGATCCAACTGCAGTTACCCCTGCGCCCAGTGAAGGTAATACTTGCTACTAGTGTGAGTGCTAAATCAGAGTGGATCTGATAAAAGCTTCACTAGCACCATTGATTACACAAGAGTTAATCTAGCCAGAAGCAGTCCATGGTTAACAGGTATGTATACTTCAAATAGAAAGTGTATGAACCCTGGAACCAACAAGGGTGGCAGGTACAACATTACACTTTCAAGCAGCTGAGCCCGTTGGCAACAGACCCAACACAATCCGGCGTAAGTGTACCCACCAACCGAACTAGCTGCCACACACACACACACACACACACACACACACACACACACACACACACAAACACACACATACATGAAATTCGAACATACTCTTTGTTAAAGCGCAGCATCACTTCTTCCAACTCAACACGGTGAACATAGCCACGATGTCGCTGCTTGCCATTAACAGTGCGTGCCAGTAAGTGATCATTCCTCAACAACGATGGCCTGTTCTCAGCCAAACCAGGAACCTGCGACAGAACGCACATCCATTTACGGCGCACACAGACACCCACAACACATGCACACCCGCACCCACACACACACGTAGAGACAGACACATAATGAGGCCTTCGGACTGAAATCTTCCAAAACACAGCACACAGTACACTTCAAGCTTTCTCACGAGGACACAACACTGTGTGACAACAGCAATCTGTATAGTCATCCTTTGCATACTTCCGTTCTTTGTCAATGCGAGATCCTATTTTTAAGGTCCCGGCCGGACTTTCAAGAACATTTCCATTTTTCAACATCTGCAGAAATCTCCACAGGGACGTTTCTGTTCAGGCGTTAGTACAAATCAAGATATCCGATTAGACTGAGTTTTTCACATCCATAGGAACGCCACCACCCTCAAGGATCAAGGCCCAGATCCAGCTCCCAAAGTGGTGGGAGGTGAGTAGATCAGACCGACCACCAAAGTGGTCAAAGACCAAAACTCCCGTTCACTTCTCAATCATAGTCATCATCCATCCCATCCCACTATGCTTGCCTAAAGATATAAAGATGGTCAACAACTAAACGCCGTGTGTTGGATATCGCTTTTATCAGTGCTGTCATCCATCTTGATAATCTCCAACAATTTCAGGGATGAATTTATCCGGTATCGCATCGCAGTTTGCTACGCAAAATCGATCTACTGCTACTCAAAAATGACAGTGACACGCAGAAAACTGCGATACATACATGTACAGGCTACTACTATTCATGCTTTTTGTAGCTTACACCAGATTTTGCATAGGAAAAACTGCTATGCAAAAACATGGCAGTAAATTTATCCCTGAATTTGGGTATGGCTACTAGCCCTGTATAGTTCACCAGAGAAGCGTCACTCCACCTATTTCTCAGCTCACACACTATCATCACACAGCAAGGTCCAGTGTGTGTGTGTGTGTGTGTGTGTGTGTGTGTGTGTGTGTGTGTGTGTGCGTGCGTGTGTGTGTGTGCTGCTTGAAGGTGTATTGTTGTATCTGCCACTTTTGTTGGTGTCAGGGTTCGTATACTTTCTATTTGAAGTATACATACCTGTTGACCATGGACTGCTTCTGGCTAGATTAACTCTTGTGTAATCAATGGTGCTAGTGAAGCTTATATCAGATCCACTCTGATTTAGCCGCCCACACTAGTTGCAAGTATTACCTTCACTGGGGGCAGGGGTAACTGCAGTTGGATCCGGGGACGGATACCCTGATGCCGTCAATCCTTTTTCTGCACCTTGTCCTCACCCACTTACTGAGGTGTGGTGAGCCCATAAGTGGGATCATTTTCAAGTCCACCCAGAGTTTTGGGGATTTCAGGGGTGTCGGCTGTTGGGCAGTTCAATAGCCAGTTGAGTCATCTTTCCAAGATTCCTTTTGAGTCTCTCTCCCCTCTCCCGGGGAGACCCACGTGACCAGTTTTGGCAGTGAGCAACAAGTACAAGTGTGTGTGTGTGTGTGTGTGTGTGTGTGTGTGTGTGTGTGTGTGTGTGTGTGTGTGTGTGTGTGTGTGCGTATGTGTGTGTGTGCGTATGTGTGTGTGTGTGTGTGTGTGTGTGTGTGTGTGTGTGTGTGTGTGTGTGTGTGTGTGTGTGTGTGTGTGTGCGTGTGCGTGCGTGAGCTTGGCTAACTAGGCCCTTCCACATTATGTGTTTTTTTGCCGCTAAGGCGAGACCAAAATAAAATCGAGATTCCCGGGCAGGACCCATGTGAAATTGGTGCGGGCGGGCGAATTTTTATTTTATTATTTTTTTCCAATGTATGCATGCATGCCATGCTGAACTTTATTTTTACAGTATTTTCCGGTAATTTTTATTCAATTTTTTACAGAAAACAGGTACGCGGTTTACCCGTTCGATTATTTTTCTGTATTTCGGCCAACAATTGCCCTGATCTGTACATCGGGGAGTCGTACAAGCCCAGGTTTGTGTGATTTCACGTCACAGATCTACTCACACGATCAGTACTGTACATGTATGAGTTGCTCAAAAAAAAATATGGCTTTGGCTCGATTTTGGTGCGGGAGGGCCCGGGAATCTCTATTTTTGTTTGGTCTCGCCTAAAATGGAAATGTAAAATGCGATTTTTTAGCCCAAAATACTGCTGTGAAATTTCCAAAAATCCAAAAAATAGAAATTCTTGCCCAATCACCCCAATTAAATATTGCGACAGAGCTTTCGGCCATACTCGGGTCGGTGTGAATCCTGAGCGGCAACCGAGCCTGTCGTGTTGGCAGATCTCAGCGGCGGTGAGTCTCGCCTCGCCCGCACACGAGGGACATTGCACCATACTCTCACTACGTACAACATACTCTCCAGTGGCATCATTATTCTCGCTTTATTGAAATCAGCGGTAGTGTCATTTCAGCGTAAAGGTTTACGTCGCCTGTCTGGTGTGTTCCTCCACCAATGAGCGCATACCATAGCTCTTCACACTATTCTCACATTTAGCAGCTTGCATATGCCAATGTTCTATGTGGAAAATGCCATTTCTGCCGCAAAGGAATGATCATTCCTTTACACTCCATTATCAACGATAGAGAGGTTCCGGAGTACGATTTTTCGTGCCAAAATCCGTGGAGGCGCTACGGATTTTTATACGTCGTTTTCGAGCAGCAAAATGTTCCGGAGTACGGAACTTCTGTGTTTGCCGTCATTGCCTAGGTTACGATCGTTACCACGTCACATTCCCGCGCTATGCCTTGTTATTTTGAAAAATTGTACCGGAATCAAAATTTCCCGCGGAAGATCGATGTTTCTCGTACCAAATTTGTACGCGAAAAATCTTTCTGCACCCGATGACGCAAAATCTCCATACGAAACATGGTTCGTGTGAAAGCCAGTCCACACGGATTCTCCGTGCCGAAAAATCGTATGGAGCACGCCTGGAAAAAATCCGTAGCGCCCATACGGATTTTGGAACGGAAAATCGTACCCCGGAACCTCTCTATTATCATCCTCTACTGACTAGCCCGAAGGAGCGAAACAGCTGTCTAGAGGTGCAACAATTATCTGTCAACGGAAGAGTCCTTGCTGTGTTAATGCTTCGGGTATTAGTTCGGCTGAGAGCACGTGGTGGTGACGGGTTGAAAATGTAGTAAATCACCCCAAAATGCAAAAAAAGGATGTGCCCGTTGTGACAACCAAAATCAAAATTTGAAATTTTGAAAGGTATCTTCATGGAAACCAGAAGTCGCTGTGGTATCTGCACAAAGTTGAGTTTAGACTGGACTAAAACGAATGCTTTAGCCCCTAAAATGCCAGCTAGATTTTATTGACCGCAGCAAGTGTAGCGTGTGCATAAGTGACTCAGACTGTCTTGATTGCTTTATTCCATTGTACTGTAAAAGCCATTATTCTAACGAGGCGCATATATAACGATTCCTAAAATTGACTGGTTTACGTGTATCAAAAGTAACGATTCTCACTCATTCCCAACGCTCAATAGCAACAGTATATGCATCGATTACTGTATAACGATATCTATTTTAACAACAGATTTCTCCTCGTTACATATATGGCTTTTACAGTACTCCGTGTGATGCGGACCAGGAGCGCAGTGGGGATCGATTCACATGGCTTCGGCAGTTGTGCGGACTGGGCAGTTATCTGGCACAAGTCTTGATCTGTTTCATTCAGATCTTGTCCAGCATCCTTGATCCTTGAAGGATGGTGGCGTTCCTACGGATGCAGAAACTCGGCCTCTACCCAAGTCTTACGCGAACCGTGAATTTTTTTGTCCAGCATTATAAAGATAGAATCTGTTGGTGTATAGCCAGTGCATTCTTGGATTTGTGTACTTCTCTTGCAACGGGTGTACATGGTACATGGTGTGAGAGCGAGAGCGAGAGCGAGAGAGAGAGAGAGAGAGAGAGAGAGAGAGAGAGAGAGAGAGAGAGAGAGAGAGAGAGAGAGAGAGAGAGAGAGAGAGAGAGAGAGAGAGGGGGAGAGAGAGAGAGGGGAGAGAGAGAGAGAGAGAGACGGAGAGAGAGAGAGAGAGAGAGAGAGAGAGAGAGAGAGAGAGAGAGAGAGAGAGAGAGAGAGAGAGAGAGAGAGAGAGAGAGAGAGACGGAGAGAGAGAGAGAGAGAGAGAGAGAGAGAGAGAGAGAGAGAGAGAGAGAGAGAGAGAGAGAGAGAGAGAGAGAGAGAGAGAGAGAGAGAGAGAGAGAGTAAGAGAGAGAGAGAGAGAGGGAGAGAGAGAGAGAGGGAGAGAGAGAGAGAAAGAGGGAGAGGGGGAGAGAGAGAGAGAGAGAGAGAGAGAGAGAGAGAGAGAGAGAGAGAGAGAGAGAGAGAGAGAGAGAGAGACAGAGAGAGAGAGAGAGACAGAGAGGGAGAGAGAGAGGGAGGGGAGAGAGAGAGAGCAATTTTGAATCCGTGCCCAGGTGGCTGCAAGACCAGGGATGTGTGAAAATCCCTCGCTCAATTCTACATTTGCAGCCACGGAGAGACATTAACCGTGACTTGATATTCTTGCTTCAGAACGCTGGAATAGAGCATTAGAAAGCGCACTGCAAACTGTTACAATGGACACCTGGAAGATTTCTATTTAACCTACACATCAAGAGCCCTATAGCTGCCCTAACAAGATACCAAGAACTGCATGTTTCCACCAGCTAGACTAGCAAAGAAAGAAAGTTGAGCATGCGCTTACCTTCAAGGCTAAGTACATGTTAGACACGGTCATGACAGCATGCGGCATATCATAATTGTGTATGTCAACTTCTTCTTGACGATGTTCCAACAAAAGCATCAGCAACATCTTTTGTTTGTAGTTGTCCGCTGTCAGCCTCTGGTCCAACAGGCGCTTCTGATCCAAGTTGAGCTTCATGCGAACATCTCTGCCGGTACGATTATGCTTCTCAACAAACAACTGTGAGTGTAAGTGCTTCTTGATTGTGTGCTCATTGTAAGCGACCAGGGGACTGACCGTGACAATCAGTTGATTCTGAATTGGTCTGAAATGTACGAGCAACCAAAACACACACACACACATATACAAGCGTGCGGGCGCGCGGGCACGCACACACACACACACACGCACACAGTTGTACTTACACACACGCGCGCACATACGCGCACACATACACACACACATGCACCCAAACATGCACGCACACGCCCGCACACATACACATACAAACACATACAAACACACATACATATAAACACACATACAAACACACACACAGAGGATGAAAATCAAAATAAATTGTACACGAGTACTGTAAGCCAGGCAGCATTCGGTGCTTTAGAAACCGAGAATTCCACACATTGACATGTACATGTATGACTGTACCATTGAATAAGAACGAAACGTCTGTGTTTGCAAAAAATTAGAAGGGGCTAGGTTAGAACCCTGACCCCCCAGCTCTTCGGCGCCCGACAGTACTGTAACGTTGCCACAATGCATACACGTATCACGCTGGTCACACCTCTTTCCACATACATCACTAGTGCATGATTCATTAGTCTCATTACATCTTACTCTTCTGGTTTTTCTCCATCAACAATGTCCTCATCGGTTGTCTTGAGCAGTTTGACTGGCTTGGCACGGAATGGGCGTGTGGCTTGCATAGCCGGGTCACTTGTGACACTGTCTGTGAAGTACACAGACAGGAAGCGTACAATGTTGAACTTTTCACCGCTGGCTGTCTTCAACTCAAACACACACCAGTCCCTGCGGATACCAAGCTGATCAATCACACAGCGCACCGATATAGTGTGCTTTGTGGATGAAGATAGAGACATTGGGTACCGGACAGTGGAATGTAACCTCTCCATCGCGAAGCCATGATGTTCAAATAGCAGGTAGCAAGACTCCAAAGTCAACTTGGACAGTGAGCTGTTCGTGATGGTGAGCTTGAGTGTGGGGCAATCTTGGGCAGCTGTGGACATGCTGACAGCATCCAGTGAAATGTTGCCTTCTGAGCATTCACGATCTGCTGTCACGGTCACACCCCATTTGTCAGATATCAAATCTTCACTGCAGGCATTCAGAAACGAGCAGAGAGCAAAAAGAAAAGATGAATACTAGTATTCATAATCCAAACTAACACAATGCAAAACACAATGCACATCACAAAACGTCCACAAACATGCACATGTGTGCGGCGTGCGTGCGTGCGTGTATGTATGTGTGTGTGTGTGTGTGTGTGTATGTATGTGTGTGTGTGTGCGCACGTGCGTGTGCTGATTCTCAAACTAACTAGTCACACTCAACCTTCTCAAAGTGCGTCTTCATCCATGGCGGACTCATCCATATTTATCACAAAGAAACGAGGCCGAACCTCTAAACAGAATGGCAGACTACATGTAACGAATCGGATCCATGTATGAAAGGAGAAAAGGCTCGCCTGTTTCTATTCTATTCTCAGTACAGGTCTACCCTGGTTAGTACGACATCGGTTTCAAGACGAACCTCATTAGTAGACAACGATTAAAAATCCTGACGCCTGAAACTCGTACATTCAAGTCCGAATAGTAGATCATATTCGTTATAAGACGCACATTTCGAAACCCTGGGGTTGTCTACTAACGAGGGTAGACCTGTACATGCATAGTGCATTTCAATAACCAGGGGTGTCAAGACGTATCTAAGGATGGCACGGTCAGTTTAAAAATATTATTGTATTCTACTTTGAAGTAGGTGCCATCCTAGGGCCAATAATCATTGAATTTCATTAAAATATGGCTACCAACGAACAACAGTCAATACCGCAGTGACCGTAGCGTGTCCGATGCCCCTCATGACATAGAAATGCAGCTTTTTTGTATTCAAATTCTTGTATAACGGTCTTCAAGTCTCTGGGGATTTGGCACTGTTATTGAACTTGTCTTCACTTCACAATTATCCGCTGACAGCAGCTACTGCATGTACTAGAACTGGACGTATGCAATTTATTCACTTTTAAAAATGAAGCATATATTTCTGCAGCATTCTGATCCCTAGTTTAACTTTGCTTTGCTGGATGCACTTTCCTAGTCGAAACTAAAGCCAAGTTCACTTCCAGTTGCTTTGCAGTTCCAGTCCCGTGAATACTGAGCTGAGCAGTATAGCACAGTAGTATGACTTACATTATAGGGCGCGTTCGAATTGTCCTCATCACCTTAATTTTAAGTATCCCAATAGAACGGTTGCTGTCAGCCTTACTATTTCCTTTGGAATTGTCATAGCCATGGGATTTTCCAAGTGTGCTATCCACGTGAGAATGTGCTTCCCTTACCGTATGTGCAGGTTTTGTTCTAGGTTCTGCGGGAAATGCATACAAAAGGCAGTTTTCGCGGGGGAATATTCCAAGCTCTTCTAAACGAATCCACCTCTCACATCGGATGAGGTTGTGGAGTTTCGTGGAGACTTTCGGCCGATAAGCCACCTCTTCAGAAAAACGAAACTCTTCGAAAGGTCAAAGAGTGACAATTCGAGTGCGCTCCTAGCCTAGGCCCTTCAACTTGCATGGTGGTTGCATGCAGTTCGCTTGGACATGAATAAACTGTATGTGTCATGTGCCTGCTCAGCATGTCACTGCCTCACTGGTGCACCAGCTATGACAGCATGTACCAAGGACAAGGACTCTAACTATCAGTATTATTCTTACTTAGGTGGAGGACGCACTGTGTTGAAAACAATGACTCATGGCTGTGCAGCACGCATGTACATGACGATTGTACACTGAGGCTAAGCTACAACTACAACTTACAAGCTTATATTACTTCACTTGACTTGGCAGGCACTCACTGCAGCCAGTACCAGTAGTAGTAGTAGTAGTAGTAGTAGTAGTAGTAGTAGTAGTAGTAGTAGTAGTAGTAGTAGTAGTAGTAGTAGTAGTAGTAGTAGTAGTAGTAGTAGTAGTACAGAGTACAGGCTAGGCTTCTGAGTGCAGTGCAGCTGGGTACACCTGGACTTGGTCCAGCACCACTGTATTTTAGTACCTGGGGATTTCCCTACCATTGTTCAGTGGTAGCACAGACTGCATGCTGCATGCCATATAGCCTGGCATAGCCATAGGTGATCAAGGGCAAGGCCCAAGTAAACTAAACTGTGACAACCCCCAACATGTTATCAGCTAGAGCTACATGACGTACATGCATGGGCTACGGTATAATAATAAAATTATGGGCAGCGCGCGAGCAGGGGACTTTCAAGTATTTTTAAATTGTTCAAACACAGAGTCACTCATACACCTGAACAAAGAGACGGCAACTACGCTAGTACTAGTAGAACTAGTAGATCTACACTACAACTCGAAAAGTAAGTAACATAGTTACTTAGCGATCCCAGGCGAACGTAGAACACGAGCGCGGAACTCACGAGAAAGAAACTGGATCGATCAACACGGGCACATGTGCGCACTATTACTAGTAGTACACCCACTACTTACCTTCTCGATTTGATGTCGACATTCGCTTGGAGCAGATCCTTTCTGCGATCATATCCGATTTCCATTACGTCTAGTGCTCGTTCACCTAGGTGGATAACGTCGCGATTCTGCACCTGTGCTCTCGGTCTAGCGCCATTGGGAGAGTACGTTCGGATTATGGCATAGCATACTCGTGATGGCGATAGGCGGACGCCATCACACACGGTTATGGCCCGATCAGAGGCAAACTGTGGCCAGTACCGTCGTACATCATCACGCAATAGATACTGCTGTTTCAAGATGAGACCTTCAGTTTGACCATTGATGTAGAAGAGAAATTCCGGCAAATGCTCCACTGCCGTCTTTACGCAGTCTTCGAGTTCACGCCGCCGAACACCGTACGGGCGTCTCAAGCGGTGGCTGCCTTCGGTAGAAGCAGCAACACTAGCAGCCATGGTATCCCTCTGATTAGTGATTACTCTGGTAGAGGCTAGGTGGTTGGAATAATGAGATGCGGTCACAAATTCATAAGGAGTGTTTCACTCAAAGATATTGAAACTACGCACTACGGGATATTTGATAGGACGAGTCACGACGTCAGAGCTAAAGCTATAATCTAGCTGTGGAGTGATGGTGGTAGTATCTATAAAACCAGGATATCACGGTACTGTACACTGAGGAAACAAAGGAAGACAGAACAGAAAGAAACAATGGCTGCACACACAAATGCCGAAATAGCCCATCACTCAGCAAGACACTGATGTCGTTCACCGAACAGTACTGTATACGACATACCAGCAACGACGTGGCTTGATGCTGCCTGCCTTCAGCCACAGGCTCACAGGTCTTGTTCTTCACCTAAGTCTGGTCTTCCAGGCAGCAGCCACAGCTGCTGCTTCACCGCCACCCCCACCGCCTCCACTACCAGCCACACACTACCACAACTGCGAAACAACTACAACAACATCACAACATATTTTCAAATTTTATTCTAAAAAATTTAATGGCATGGTGCATGCATGCATATCTCATGCATGATCGATCTGAGCTGAGATTTTTTGAATTTTTCTACACGTGCGCGTGCGTGCATATGCATGCATAGTTGCATACACGATACGAACGTGAAATCTACGTAGTCTACTACCAGTACGAGACTCGTACCAAGACTAAAAAAAAAGCAAGGGTTCATAACCCCCGGGGTTATGTACTCTTGCTACTACAGTACAGGTAGTGTCAAGAGTTCATGTGGGGTTATGTCTTATTATTATTATTATTATTATTAACTTTTATTTTACTAGGGTGTTTCCCACAGACCTATGGTCTTCTTACGGGAGCCCGTAGGAAGGTTATGCATGAGCGAATAAATGAGCGGTAATCGGTACAAGTACGAACAGTGGAAGGCAGCATATTCCACCGGTCAGCAGCGAGATAGCCAATCCGAGAAAAGCCAGCCGTACTCTGTGCTGGGGGTAATGCCAAAGAAAAAGACACCTGGGATCTCGTAGTGGCAGTGGTGTGTCTTATGAACTCTAGTCTCGGTAGTGTTTGTAGATCTAGCTAGCTACTAGTACTAGAGTATCTACATGTACGTCCACGATCGATCAATCGATCATGCATGTACATTATGTGGACGTGATGTTGTCCATGTCAGTAGTGAGGTTTAGTCCACAACTCTTTATTGCACTCAGAAAAATAATAAGGCACCCATTTTGATAGTCCAGGGGATGGCCCGCGCCTGGTAAAAAGAATAAACAGAAAAAGAAGAAGAAAAAAGAAAATAATAAGGCACCCATTTTGATAATCCAGGGGATGGCCCACGCCTGGTAAAAAGAATAAAATAGAAAAGAATCATGACAAGTACATGACTAGACCTCTAGACAAAAATGTACATGTCTGACTTTAGTTCAACAGTCCTGCAAGGAAACACGTGCCTCGTCTACCACTACAGAGTACAGACGCGGGGTCCCTGGTGACACGGTGTGCGGATGATGATCTTGCCCCACGAAGGCACATCACGCTAGCTCGGACTAATGCAAAGCTTAGCTATTATTGCAGCGAAGCCATGCCATCGTCACCACTGGTCACGGAGCACGGCTCCTTCAGCTTGTCAGATAGCATGCTGGCAAGACGCTTGAACAGGGCCGATGCACACTTGCTAGTGCCACCAGTGGCTGACAGCACTACTGGCACGAACGTGGCGCGGTCAACCTCAAGCAGACGCTGCTCATATCTCCGGCGTTTCTCCTTTTCATGACGTACATACACTGAGGAAACTGAGGCAGCGTAGGGGTTGAAAACCCTTATATCAAGAAAGGTGCGCTCAAATCGGCCACCCCAGATTCCGTTGGCGGCAACATCAAGACGAGCCTGATCAGCGGTCGTTGTGGACAGAAGCCGGAATTTCTCTCCGGTGACTGGCTGCAGCATCGGTTCTGTGCACACACCATGCGTGACCTGACGCAGAACATCAGCCGTGAGGTCTCGAATTATTTCATTGTGTCGAATACTGGGGAATCCCCCAGTACTGCAGGACAAGGCATGGTGACGTCAAAGTTACCATGGCCACAGACGCATCCTGATGGCAGGCGTGCTGGTGTCCACCCGTACCGGAGACAGAGGGCATCGCGAAACTCCGCCTTGGACAAACGAAATCCATGGATGGCTAGAGGGCGGCAAGTCAGCCAGCTGGAGGCCCCCTTCTCCGAAGCTAGGGTCAATTGCAGCTCAAGCTCTGCTCCAGCAGCTGCACCATCCTTGAAAGACTTCACGGCTGCCAGGAGGTTGGTTCGCAAAGTCGTACGTACCTCTGCCTTCATGCGGAGAACTTGCGCCGCGGTGCCATCTAGGGAGGAATCTTGGGCGATTAGTTTCTCCCACAGGGATGTCGTGATCTTGCGTGAATTGCGGTAGTTGCCGCCCATAGATGTCGGGTCGGTGATGCCAAGACCACCATGGCGGCATGGGAAGGCCAGCAGTGCACGCTCCTGAGAAGACGATGGCGCGTGGCCTGTCAGAGCTGGGATCAGGATGTCCCGAATCACGTCTTCAAGACGACCAAACAGTGCAGGGGCATCCTCAAGGGTTCTTGAGAGAAAGGACCACCGCGGCTGTAGTCCCTGAATGAAGGCACTGTAGGCTGCCTGAGGTTGAGTCGATGCAAATTCAGCCAGACGACGAATCTGCTTGACCCAGTCGGTGACCTTATTAGCAACGTACTCTTCCACAAAGGACGGCGTGCCAAGGGCTGCTCCTAGATGACGACAACCATCCTTCTCAATACGCACACCAGTACCAGTAAAAATCACAGTGGCTTCCTCGTACGCCTCGGGTTTCACGAGCAGGATCGACTTTGTTGCATTCAGGAAGTACCCATAATCCGACCCTTTTGCATTCAGGTCATCCCACCATCGCCGTAGCGGGCGTAGGCGGCCGCCAGCTGAAGAATCATCCGCGTACCATTCCTGTACCACGTCGGCAGAAGCAACATCAGCGATAAGCGGGGTGACACCCAAGGCATACATAGGCATGGCAATGGGGTCACCCTGGGTGGTGCCTTCACACGATAGAATACTTTCTCCGTCGACATAGAGACGAGCGGGGGATCGGTGCGTATTAATGACCACTGGGGCCAGTGCCGGGCAGAGATGGCGGATGTTCAGGAGGCAGGCTTTGCGGTTCAACCGGTTGAAGGCGTTGGAGGCGTCCGCAAGGAGCACTCCATCCACGTCCGGATTGTGAAAGTTGTCGTTCATGGCGTGTATAGCAGCTTCGATCCCACTCGGTTGGCCAGCACAGAGCTGAAGAGAGCCTGCGGCAGACTGCACAAGGTCCCCAGTCACTGCAAGGATCGCCTTGCCCAGTATTCTGCGGACCGTCTCTCCAATACCTATCGGCCTAACGCCAGGCTTCTTGTCCAGCGGGATCAGCCTGGCAGCTGTAAATGCCTCTAGGGCTTCTGGATCGACGTATGCCGTGGCAATGCGGCGGGCACAGTTAGCCAAGCTATCACACAGTTCATCGGAGGCACCGGAAAACGCAGTTGTCATTCTTCGCCACCCATCGGCATCCACCCCAGATGGCCCAGCTGCGCCATGGGTGTGAAGAGCAGCCCTCCGTACTGCGTCCCGGTTTAAGCAGTGAAAAAGCACTGGGTGGGGTTGTGGTGGTGGATCGCCAGTAATGACAGCGTCGTCATGCAAAGGCTCTGCCACGGGGTGCTTGTCTCGGAGCAAATCCAGAACAGAGTTGTCCCCAATGCGGTCCTCGAGGTGCAGGACCCCTCCCGAGGAATCTTCGCTGAGAAGGCGCAGCGCTGACTTCACTTTACCATCATGCACCATCGACGCGAACTGGCGTGCGCGATCTTCGTTTGGTTTAGTTTTCTGTCTGGTGGTGCTGGCTCGATCGCTGAGCTGTTCTTGGATCGTGCGGGCCTCGTGCAGCAGGTCATCAATGTCACCTTGTCGCCAGAGGTCCAACCGGTGCTCCAGTCGCTTGGAGTGCGATTGAGGCGAGGCTTTGGGATCCACCGGCTTCTGTAGCAACAGCATTTGGAACGTCATGGCGATCATCAGTGCATGCTTTTCGTAGCCCCCAGCTGTACCAAAGCAGCGAAAATAGCCAGCAAGAGTTTGGATGAAGTTCCGACCGACTTCGCCTTTCGGGCCGGGGATGGCATTGGGTCGAAAGTGTACTGCCTCTGCATACGCTTTGCTTATCATCACGATGGTGTCGTCATGTGAGTGTGTTCCAAGAGTGAAGCCTCTTGAGTCCGCGGGGTCGTACTTAGGAAGCCCAGGTGCAATGACGGAGTGGCTTACATTTCCGTTCGCGGTTGACAGTGTAGGAGAAGGGGGATCACGAACTTGGGATGTGTTCAGATTGGCCAGGAGTTGCGTGTCGGTAGTGTCGGCGTTTTGGTTGGCTGGAAGGTCGGTGTCGATGTGGGTGTCAAGGTGCGTGTCCGTGTGCTGGTCCAGCATGTCCCACGCGTGCTGTTGGGAGCTGGAGACGGTGTGCGGTACTGGTTCGGCGGAGGTGCCGGCGTGCTGATCCAGCATGTCCCACACGTGCTGTTGGGAGTTGGTGACGGTACGCGGTGCTTTCATGGGAAGCAGCCGTTACCGTATCTTGTGTGGGTGTACGTGTGTGTATGGTTGTATGGTCAGGGCGGCTGGGTGACTCTTGCATGTTTCCACTGTTTGCTACGGTGAATGTGTCGTGCCGGACATACACAATACCGATCTCAAGGCTACAACATATACATTCGCATTGCCGTAGTAACCCCACCAGGTCATCAACCAATATAGTTGATCCAAGTATCCATTCAGCCACACACGCTCACCTTGGTCATTCGAATAAGGTTGAGAGTCACTATGATTCCAGCTCGATTCTAGAGTGAAGATCGAAGGAAGGTTGGTACTTTTGATCAGAAGCAGCAGGGGTTATATGATAACAAAAAGGATCGAGTTAGACAAAGGAGTAGCAAAGGCGGGAAAACCCAGCCCCGGTGAGAAGGCAGTCTTGCCTGTTCATATGGTGAAGTAAAATAAAGAAACAACAACAACAACCCAACCAATCAGACCATAGAGAGCTTGTTGCTATGCAGAATTGACCAATGGGAGAAGACAAGGAGAAATGCGTATTAATTATGAATTAACTAAACAGCCAGCGTATACGATAAGACAGTTAGCAGATACAACATCCCGCGGCCCATGCATTGATAAAAGTGACAAGTAGATACAAAAGACAACTGCCGTACAAACGCGCGCTCATGAGGGGAACACGTTCACCCAACATGTAAACTAGTACCGGCAGAGTAGTTAGTTCGTCGTACAACCCGGGGAAGTTTGTCGTACAGCCCGGGAGAACCCGTCAGCTGCCGAGGCCGATATGACATCTCCCCGGCCTTCTGGGAGATTGCGTCCCGCAATCCTTAGCCGTACT